GCATCGCTGTCGTGCCGCCGGGAAGTAGTAGGAGATTCATCTGCAACAGATGCAGAAGCCCCCTCCTGCTGCGCGACCTCCTGCTCCAGAGGGTGGTAATACACCGGCTTAATTTCCTGGTTGTTGCTTGCGTACACATGCCCCAGCAGCTGCCGGTGCGGTTCTGGAGGGGTTCTGACGGAGGTTTGATCTTCCTGGATTTTCTTTTGAGAGGCGTTAGGCTGCTGCTCTGGACCGCGGTGGTCCGCATCTTCGAGATGAATATTGGCCCAGAAGTTGTTCTCTGCTGCTTCATTGCGACCATCAACGCCGGTCGTAGGCCTTGTACTCTTCACGTAGTTCGTGTAGACTGTATCCACTACCTGTTCCGCATACTGCACGGCCTCAGTCAGTTGCCGCCGCAAATTTTCCACTTCAAACTGGAACAGAGCCAAAGGGTTGACTCCGGCCTGACGACGGAGTGGGTGCGACGTCGACTCTTCTTTAGTTGTTGTAGTCTCAGCGTGATTTTTGTTTTGCGTTCTGTTCATCACAAAGCCAAACCAGTACTCCCCTACGCTCAAATCGAAGAACCCGTTGCGACAGTGGTCCTGCACGCGCCTCCCGAGAACGTATTCCGCCCGCTCCGAAAATGCGGCAAGCAAGACGCAAGAGTCGCGGAGCTCGCCGTTTCTGGTGTGTTCGAGGGGGGTAGAAGATGAATCAAAGTTAAGGCTGATTTCATCTCCGACCTATCCTGTGCAAAAGCATCGTGCTCGTCGTAATCGCATTTCCTAAAGGTAAATCCGCAACATTACAAATTTCATTTTTCATGCTGAGGGATGAATTTGTCATGCGATTACTACTAGTACACTAGGCTGGAGGTGGTCCTCTTGCGCATCTTTTACTTCTCCCAGAGCACGATGTTCTTCCTGTGCAAAAGTGTCGCGCTCGTAGTAATTGCAGTCATGCATTACAAATTTTTTTTCTTAAGATTAATCCGCATTACAATTTTTTTTTCTGCTCATGCTGAGGAAATTTGTAATGCATTAATACTGTTACTACACGATGAGTACGATACTTGTGCAAGTCATAGTATGTAATCCTTCCGAACGCGCGGCTCCTCGTCTATTACGGGCGGGAAAACGCGGCAGATGGACGTTTTTCGTATTGTTTCCGCCTGGGACCACTGATTCTTCAACAGGGTAGTTGCCTCGTTCTGATGCAGAAGTAGGTGGGTATAGTGCCGCTGTTCTTGGTGGGAAATTGGAGTGGAGGTCCTCGCATTTTCAGCGGTAGGTGGACTGCTCCTGGAGGCCGCGCCTCCTCCGTCAGGGGGTTCATTTCTAGCCGTTGTTGCAGCAGCATCATCTTGATCCTGATGCCCCGGCGCGGCTGCAGCTCCGTTTATATTTTCACCCACCCTGGCCGCCAGATGGACAAGAACCTTGTCGAACAAAAATTTGTTCTTCTTCGGAAACCTCCTATCCCGACGATAAAGAAGCCTGTCAGATTCGCTATAGCCTTCGCCCCGTGCGAGCGAATTATCTTGCGCACTCGACAGCATGCGAGTTCTCGGTGGTCGCACGTGCGCCGGTATCATATTTGCTGTCGCTCTCGAGCGTAGTCCACCGTCCACACTATGACGCGCCTCTCCTCTTTCTCGGTCGTTAAGCTTCGAAGACAGAAAGCTGGACACCAAAACGTTCACCTTGTGTGGGAGAACGTGCCTGTAGCGCAGATTCATGTAGAGGGCAGTGGAGAAGGCAACACGGTCTGAAGAGGGCTCCTCTCGAAGATGATCCACAAGAATTTCGGGCAAGGAGGAGGTAGAGGACGCCTTGGTCGTACTAGTGCCTGGGGCAAAATTATCGTCCTCGTCCTCGTCTGTGCCACACACTGTGAACTTTGCGATTCTCGGCGATAGGCGGAGGAACGGTTTCGCGTCAAGCAATTCTTCCGGCCTGGGAGGAACGAGGCTGTTTATCTTGTAGGGGGATTTGTGGTCGTCGTCGTGGATAGTAAACTCCTTCCCGACCTGCTCCTCCTCATGCCGCTTTAGTAGAAGTAGATCGGGTCCTCGTTCTGGTACAGGCTGGTCTTCTTGCGCATCTTTTACTTCTCCCAGAGCACGATGTTCTTCTTGACCAGCAGAGTTTGTTACAGTAGAAGAAAAATGTTGAAAATACCGAACCGCATCCAAAAGCGTCGCAAAGTCTTCTGACAGGTCGAGGTAGTATAAAAATGTTCGCGGCCCCGGCTGCTCGTGGTCCTGCTGCTGCCCTTCGTGTCCGATCCGCTTCCGCTTGTTCCAGCCGACCGGATCTAGGACTTCCGCATCCAAAGTAGATCGACTGGTCTTCGTCTTGTTCGAAAGCAGCAGCTCAGCTAAGTTCCTGCTGCCCCAGATGACCGGAATACAGTTTGCTTCCAGCAAACAGGAGAAAGTTTTGGGATGGATAAGATTGCGCGTGCCAATGTGTTCATCCGTTAAAACGAAGCTGAAGCGACAAGCAAATGGCTCTTCTTGTGCAGCATCTGCATTGATGTAGTCTGCACGGCGCCCAAGACGTTGAACTACACTGGAGGGATTCGTCTTTTCATCATTACCTGGACCACCACCATCCGCTTCTTCTACTACTCTTGGCGGCGGAAGACCGAAGCGGTCACGGTCTGGAGAAGCGAAGTCCTCGTCGTGGTGCGCATTTATTCCCAGCGACAGTTGGGATGCACATGCGGTGGTGTGGGTGTGTTGTTCACCATCTGCAGGTCCTTCTACCAGGTTTTCCTGGAGGTTGTTCTTTGGGTCCAGGCGACGAGGACTCAGTGATGTGACAGAAGAAGCTGCTCTCGTACTAGTAGTACAGCTACCCCCTTGCTGCAGGCGCTCCTCGGGGTTAATATTCGAGCTTGCGTTCGGCGGTGTGTTGTCTTTGTCAAAGTCACCCGCGACCTCGCCTCCCGAAGAAATATCGGAGGGCGAGGAATAACGTGATGAAGAGAATATAACCTGCTCAGGTGTTACAATCTCAAACGTTACAATAGAATATGGAAATCTGTGATGCAAGAGTGCATGATCTAGCCTCTTCCCACAGGATTGCGCATGACAAGTTTCGGAGCTCCAAACCGCACTATAATCTGGCGAGATTTGTATTGCAGAAAGTGGAACGCTCTGCGAGTCTGTCATGCTCATCATGCAGGACAAATCCCTGATTCTATTGTAACGCTTGAGATTGTAACGTTTGAGCAGGCCATAGAGAAACTCGGATTTTTTTCACCGCTGCTACCTGCTGAGGATGCAGTGGACGGCGTAGTTGTTTCGGGTTGTTGTAAACAAATGTTGTTCGTCGAAGCAGTGCCGCTGCTGTCTAGTTTTCGTCCGTTGGTATCTTTAATATCAACTGACAGAAGGGAAGATGCAACTACAGGGGCACCAGCATTTTCATTGTGTCCTTTGCCTCCCCCAGGAGTAGCAGTGGTACTGCTACCCGAGAAGTGGTCTGGGCTTGCGTTCACGTTCTTCTTTTCACCGAGTTCTTGTTGTGGGACAGCAGTAGAACGGCCAGTATTAGCACCGCCACAGATGACCGGAATACAGTTTGCTTCCAGCAAACAGGAGAAAGTTTTGGGATGGATGAAATCGTCTGCCAGGTCACCAGCTGCAGCTCCTTCTACCAGGTTTTCCTGGAGGTAGTTTGGGTCCAGACCACGACTCCGGCCTCTGTCTACTTGTTTCATCTGACCCGCTAGTAGAACGATGGCCTGCTTCACCCTCTCCGCCTGCGCCCCCTCCACCACGTCAAAGTCGAGGCTGCAATAGCGTCGAGGAAGCGGAGCAGAAGTTCTCGGGGGCTCTACTCCTGCTTCAGTGGACGAGATAGTGGACCACGACGACGTGTTCTTCTGCCTAATAGAAGGCGTCTCAACATCGGCCACCTGTGCAGGAGCTGCACTGCTCGGGGCATGTTTTTCATTCTTGGCGAGCGGCCTTGTGCTTTCATCTACTCCGCCCCCATGGTGGGCATCATCGATGTCTTCTAGCCTTCCTACTTCATTCTCCTCCCCCTCTTCCAAGTCCTCAAACTCGCCAAGCTCCAAAATTCCCCGGGTCGTGATGGTCGTTTTTGGGGATTCGGAGTGCTTGAGCTCCATTTCATGATCGTCGTCCTCGCCGCTGGCTGCGGGGTCATGATGACGGTGGGTAAATACGCCAGAATTATTTTCATCCCCCTTATTTGCACCGGTAGCGTCCTCTTGAAAAATCGCATGCTCCAGTTCTACTTCTTCTTCCTTCGACGCTCGCAGGAGGTTCTGCAACTCCTGCTGCTCCCGGTCATTGACGGCGCAGAAGGAGGGAAATATGTCGTCGTCGACGACCACATGGTCACGCGGATGGGTCGATTGTTTTTGCAGCGTGCTCCTGTGATGAAGATCGCTTTTTAATACTTCCGGTTCTGCGGGAATTGTTTGTGACGTGCAGCAGAAGAGGACGACAGAGCGGAAGAACGGGAATTTTCTTGCGAAAATGGCCATGAGGTCTTGGGGTTGACGCCCTCGAGCTGGACGACGTAAGTAGTACACGTGCTGGCTCACGCTTGTTTATAATGTTGAGGCTGCTCCTCTCACTCTCTGTTCTTTGTGATAGGCGCAACGCTGGTGACTACTCCTGTGCGTAGCACTGTAAGCAGGTAGTTCCAGCGAGATACAGTCCTACTGAGATGTGGTGGCGCTTCCGAAATGATAGTGCCCATACACGAAGAGCAAGTGGAGAGCGAAGCGGGGGCTAAACAATATCAGATGCTTCGCCTCGCAGCCTAGGACCGACCCGGAGAACACGAAGGCGCACGGCGTCAGATTGCGCGTGACCCCACAACCGCCAGGCGTCTGTCACTTTATCACAAGACAGAGCTTCGCTTTTAATACAGAGGCACGGCGGCACTTTCTCCCCCGTTCGAAGACGATCGAGCACCGGCCAAGCAACATGGCTGATGCCGGCGGGAGCAGTGCAACACGCGGGCAACGAAAACCGTGCCGGCCATGCAACGGGCAGGAAAATGCCCGCGCGCGCTGTTCGCGCGAACGGGACACACGAAGGCCCCGGGCCTGCGCACCGGCCACTGGACTGAGAGAAACACCGGGCCGGCCAGCCCTTCACGCCTGGCAAACATACAATCCCAGCCAGCAGGCCCCGTCCTCTCATTGCAAGAAACAAGGCGGCCCAGGCCAGCTCGCGCGGGCTTCGGCAGGGGGGCCGCGCGCCGGCCGGCCCCAAGAGGTGGCGCGCGCCGGCATCAAAAAAACAAAGAAGCCCGCCAAGCGGCAAACCAAGGGCCACGGTGGTGGCGGCGGTGGCTTCCTTGCCGGCGTTCTCGCTCGCCTGGGCGTTCCGACGGTCTCGCTCCGTGTCGAAGCAACAGCCCCGCCGCTCTTTTACAACAGGGCACCGCCAACGCTTGGCCCCCTCTCCGTCCTTCGCCGGGCCACCCAGCTCGCAGCAGGCGAGCTGCTGCAGCCCTCCACAGGCTCGGCCGTAGAGGCAGCTGCGGGCTTCTCAAACTGCCGGCGGAACTGTAGCCGCCTCGCCCCGGCAAAGGCCGCACAGGAGTAAATCGCGCGCCGGGGGCCACCTAAACCGCTGCCCCGGGCGTCCGCCCCTCCTCCAGCCCAGTCGGCCCGCCGCCGCGGCAGCCCCTACTTCGCCAACAATGCCGGCGGGCGGGGCATGACGCGAGGCACACACAGCCCGGTCGCATATCAATCCGAGGGCGCTGCGCTCCTCCTGCGAAACCATACGGGCGAGCTTATGGACCTCCATAGCGATCCGCCCTTTTCTTGCTGCATGCTTTTGCACCAGAGCGGAGAGCTACGGGGCAAAGGAAGCGCTCATAGTGTACTCGCTTCCCTGCCGGGCGGCTCCTTCAGGTCTCCGCCCCACAGCAAAAGGGCCGCGACGGCTTTCGTGCCACTGTGTCCGTTCTGACGCAGGCGCATCCTCAGGCGGCGGGCCTCCCCCTGCGTCTCGCCAGAAATAGCTGGGCCGCTTCACTCGCCCGGGCGCAGATCGCCGCCCGCCGCCCGGTCCGCCGGCCAATTGAGTCCGCCAAACGCGGCGGGCCCCAGGCGGGCGCGCTTCCTCACCGCTCTGGCAGGCGCCCTCGGCCTTTCCGGCGCAGGCAGCCAGGCCCGCCGTTCCGGCGCGGGCGGCCGCGGGGCGAGTGCCGCCGCCGGTGGCGGGGCGGGGCACTGCAAGGGCGCGGCGCTTGCCCTATTATCTGCCGGGAGCGGGGCGACCTGCGGCACCTCGAAGCCCGCCGGGTTCTGGAGCTTGCGCAGCCAGGCGCGCTGCCTTGGCGTTAGTTCGCGCAGACAAGGCGCCCACGCTAGGAACTCCGGCGCGTATTCAACGACCGAAAGCTTCCCGACCTGTAGCGGCCAGTCGTATCGCTCGCCCACCAACACGCCGCGCAAAGAAAAGCCAACAACCACGGCCGCGCACTCGCCCCCGCAGCGCGGCGCCGCGCCTTTTCCTCCGCTTTCTTCCGCTCCTGCCGCGCCGCCGCCCGGGACCACGACGGGCGCGGCGCTGTACAAAGCCGGCAGGCCGATAAGTCAACCGGCGCGCAGAGCTTGCAAAATCTTCACACCTTCTGCGCCGCTCGCTCGCGGGGCGCCTGCGGTGGGCCGGCTTGCTGGAAGTCCCTGCCCCGCGGCGAACTGCAACGGCAAGGGGGCCAGGGGTCTGGACGACACCCCTCCCGCATACCTCAAACCCCAGGGCGGGGGCATTGGCTGGGGCCTCGTGGCGTCGCCCCGGCGGCCCCGCGCGCGCAGCTGCGCTCGCAGGCACACGCGGCACCTTTGTCCACTGGAGGCAGTTCTTCTTCTTGATGTTGTACGATGAAACAACAAAGCGTCCATCTGTAGCGTGACGAGCTCTGCATGCGAACACCAGGTTGTAGCCCTCTATTTGCCATGTTTGCTCACAGCAATTTTTTCATCGAAGTCCTCGACTTTTGTTTTTTATTTTCTGATTTTTTTGCAATTTTTGTTTGAAAAGATGTAGTAATTGGGCCGTCGGTCGCGGTCCTAGTTCAGAAATTCGATCACAAAGAGGATCGATTCTTTGTGCCTCATCACCTCGGCTGTGCTTCATATTTGATGAAACATTTCAACAGACAATCCACACCTCTACAGGAAAGAAAACAATTCTATAATTCGCTCACTTCATCATTGTAAGAAAATTATTTTTTTACGAAAAAAAACAACGTATATAATCTCCGCCATATTTTCAAAGCTATTTGTATTTCAAAGAAAATTTTTATATCTGATGAAGTTGACTTTGACACGAGACGAAATAGAAATTGACAATAAGTATTCAGCCGGTGAACACGGAAGAAGGATCACCACCGCCGAATAAATGATGCCCCGAACAAATAAATTGGTTCTCGTGAAATGTGTTCTTGTTGTCGCTAAAAACATAAATAAATTTGCAAAATGGGTCGTCGTCGGTAGTACTCAAAATATCAGTATCACGCATAAGACGCATGATTGTTATTTAGCAAGCTTCACGGGTCTCTAAACTTTGAAAAAAGACTTTTCTCCTTTGATATCACGTGATATCACGTGATATCAAAGAAGAAAAGGAGAAAAGTCGATTGTGCTGTTGATATCACAGCACGCGTGATATGTAGAAAAATGCAAAAACAGAAGGAATTGATGCAAAAACAGAAGGAATCGATGCTAAGACAGAAGGAATTGATGCAAAAACAGAAGGAATCGATGCTAAGACAGAAGGAATTGATGCTAAAACAGAAGGATTTGATGCTAAAGCAAAAGGATTTGATGCTAAAGCAGAAGGATGTGAAGCAAAAACAGAAGGACTTGCGCCAGGAGCTGCTCGCTCTGGTATCAATCCAGCGGACTTTTCTCCTTTGCAAGGAGAAAAGTCCGGACTTTTCTCCTTTGATCCATATCAAAGGAGAAAAGTCGTCTGATCCATATCAAAGGAGAAAAGTCCGACATCGCGGACCCTCTGATCCATATCAAAGGAGAAACCCCGATACTTATCACGGACCCTATCCCACCCAAACCTTAGCCACCGAGCTCGTCTCCGCTCTGTTTCGCAGTGAAGATCAGAAGGAGCTTGCCTCCACTACGTGTTGACGCGGAGATCAGCGGCCGGCTCCTAAGGAAGAGATTTCCTATAAAGAAACGCGGAAAGCCCAGGGGCGAGCGATTTCCTAAAAGAAATCATGCGGAAAACCCGGACGAAGCGATTTCCCAAAGGAAATCATGCGGAAAGCCCAGGAGAAGGGATGTCCCAAAGAAAATCACGCGGAAAGCCCAGGAGAAGGGATTTCCCAAAAGAAATCACGTGGAAAGCCCAGGAAAGGGGATTGCCCAAAGGAAATCATGTGGAAAGCCCAGGAGAAGGGATTTCGCAAAGGAAGTCATGCGAAAAACCCAGGAGAAGGGAATTCCCAAAGGGAATCACGCGGAAAGCCCAGAAGAAGGGATGTCCCCTTCTGAAGGAAATCTCGAGAAGCCCCGACTGCCTAAGTAAGATGTTTGGAAAAGGGGGCTTCTTATAGAGAAAACGAGGGGCGAATGCGTTCAGGGCACAAAAAAACGGTCTCCGGGAACAGGACCACTGCTACGGGGCCTCTCCCTACGCTACACTCACCGACCCCCCGCTACATTCGGAGGCAAAAATCGACCTCAAGACCCGCACCTTTCATGGGCAAGACGCGCCCAGGGTAGCCAGAATGCCCTATGCTAAACACTGCGCGACGGGAAAAACGCCCAGCGCCCTGCCCGAAGCCATTCTCTGCGCGAGGCCAATCAAAAACGCCTCCGCGGCAAGCCTGGGACTTATGGCAGCGGGTGAGCTGTTCCCAGGGTAGCCAGAGTGCACTTAGTGCACTCTGAGAGTGCACTTAGTGCACTCTGCTGCCATAAGTCTCACCCGCTGCCATAAGTCCCATAGTGACTATGCTAAACACAGCACTGCGGGAAAAATAAAAGAAAGTAAGGAACGGCGAAAAAAAAGCGCAACACCAAGGACTCGCGGCACGCCGCCAGCACCCACCACCCACCCTAGGGCAACGCACGGTCCCTCCCTCGGGTAGCCGGCCCCCCATGTGTCACACACGCGCTGCAACCCGGCAAAGGCCCCACAACGAAATCAGCAGCGCCCACACGATCTAGGGCAGCAAGCAAGAACGAACGAAAAACTTGTGGCCTTCGCCGGCCACGCAAGCGGGCGGACGAAATGCGCACGCGCGCGCGGCAGCGCGCGAAGAATTTTTTTTTTCTGGTACAGGGAACAAGGCCGCGGGTCCGGATAAAATTCCGGGCCACATGCGCATCGTCTTTGCTTTCGCCGTGCCGCGCAAGCAGAGTCAGCACCGCCTCGCGCACGCCATGCTGCCCCATCTCCGCCGAGCAGCAAATCAGAGCAGGCCCCCCCGCACGCAGAGAAAATAAACGCACGGGGGAAATTGCGCCAGCTCGGTGCGCTTCCGCGTGCGCGGTGTGCGAAAGAGATCTTTCAGACCCTCCCCCGCTCCCCAAGGAGACGAGGCTAGGCTGCGTGCCTGGTACGCGCGAAAAATACCAGGCGCCCTCCAACCACACAAGCACGGACATCAAAGGCCGCCTACGCAAAGCGGGTTCTGCACGGGCTTGCCCCCCAAAGAAGGGGCCCCAGGCTGTGTCTGTGTGCGTTGCGCGCGGCAACTTTTTTGTCGTCCCCTGCAGGCAGGAGGCCTCCGCGTGAACAAAAATCGGGCCAAAAGAAAGAGGGGGCTGGCAGCCAGCGCGCGCAGCGCGCGAGAAAAATTTTAGGCTTTCCACATGAATGGGAGGGGCCGGGGGGGGCCGCGGGCGCGTGCGGCGCACGGAGAAGAAGCAAGTTGCCCCACAAGGAAGGCGCCCGAAGCGTGCCAAATGCGGAGAGTTGAGTTTGTCGAACCCCTTTCGCCCATTTCGAAACCCACACGACCTACGGTTCGGCTGCAAGAAATTTTCTCCGCGCGCGCAGCGCGCGCCGAGATTTTTTTTTCGGCCCTCCCTGGGTTCCGCTTTTTGCGGGCACCGGATCTGGCTTTGCGCCTTTCTTACCTCAACGAGGCATCGCCGCCCGCGTCGGTGCAAAAGCGCAAAACCAAACACAACGCAAAACCCACCACCGAGCCTATCTTCATTCCGAGCAAGGCTTCCGATAGCCAGCCCCTTGACTTCGGGATGCGGGACCGGGAGCAACGGCAGCCAGAATCCGCCATCCGCCCCCTTCTCGGAAGTGAGAAGGGGGCCGATGAGTCGCGCAGATTCTTGGTGTATCCGGCGGCCTGAAAAGTATCGTCGCAAGAAATCGACGAAACGCGCACCCGTGCGCCATTGCTTTCATACCTGGTTGGAAGCCCTTGCACAGGTGCGGGGGCGCAAAAACTACCCCAATTGATTCGCGCGCCCCCAACATAATCATACTGCCAGTCCGACTAACAAGTGCGGAGGTTGGAGCACGCTACAGAAAATCTGAACGCTAGGGGCGAAATTTGTCCCGGTGCCTTTCTCCGCTGCCACTCCTCACGACAAAGAGCGGGACCAGTCCCCACACCGCGCGAGCTGTTGCACGCTCGGACTTTTTTCCTTTGGCTGGACTTTTTTCCTTTGGCTGGACTTTTCTCCTTGGCAGGACTTTTCTCCTTAGCAGCTTTGACTTTTCTCCTTGCGTGATAATTTATTTTTTTTTTCTGGACCCAGCTCCAGGAGAAGTAGTAGCATTTAAGAAAAAAACATACGCCACATCAAGAAGGCGGCGGTTTATGAAATCAGTAATTTTCCTACATGCTGTTTATTCCAGTGATTTTTTTTTGTTTTTAAAAAAGTCTAATGAATTTCAATACATAGGTACGTACAGGCATGATCAGTGCAGAAACAAATAAAAGAATTTCATCACCACAATCAAGATCCACTGAATCACCACAGGGACCGATGTAGATGAGTTCGAGATCATTAGCATTGGTCCACGTCGTTCTTGCCTCCCCTAATCTCGTAGTTTTCGCCCCTCCTTCCGGCGTGAAAGCAAAACGTAGTTGGCCCGTCAAAGATTGTTTTTTTTCCTCTTTACAAGTGTGAAAGCAAAACGAGAATATATCGCCAAGAAACTTAGGTCGAAAATAAAACTTGTATCAAGGGCGGGCAAATTGATATATAGTAGTTTTTTGTTCGCTGAAGTACCAAATATGTTGAGGAGTTTCTTGATCTAGAGATTCTTCATTCGGTTTTGTTAATGTACAACAATGAAAAGAAAAATCTCAATTTCCGGTACTATCTTCACGTTCACCCCTCCGTCCAGTCCTCCGAAACTACACAAGATGAACTCTGGCAGGATTCGGGCGTCAAAACATCTGAAAAGGCTTCCATTTATCAAATGCAAAAATGTCTGGGTCCGGAAGATTCTGAGATTTGTCCTGCATGTTTTGCATGACCCAGGATGTCTGTAATGCACGCCCTAGCATCACAGATTTTTAGAGGGCTTCCTGATGCCTCTTCCGCATGACAAACGCCCTCCCCGCGTAGCACACACTAGACTCCCCTTGCTTGTCATGCAATACAGATTTTTTTAGAGTCCAAAGTTAGCATCACAAGTTCCAATCTTCCAGACCCAGACATTTTTGCATTTCATACCATTTCCGCGTTCAATGCCTCCTCTTCCCGCATTTCCTCGTCAATCAATCGGTCCTCCTCGTCCGGGGCAAGAAAAGTTTCGGCTAAATTGCGACCGGACGTGCCCGGAGGGACAAAAATCACAGTGGTGGAAGAAGTGGTCGCAGTAGTGGTGATGGTGTTTTCACCGTTCTCTTGATTACTATTTTCGAATTGGTCGGTCTTGTCAACATTCTTGTTGTCGTTATTTTTCGGAGGCTCTTCTTGGTCCTGCTCCTGAACACGCTGCATGGTGTGCTTTTGGAAAATGTCAATCGATTTTCGGATATGAATCGCAAAAGCATCGCACCCTAGGTAGTACAAATCGCATGACAAATTTTTCAGCATGAAAATATGAAATTTGTAATGCGGACCTAGCTTGAGATAGAGATTTGTAATGCGTGAGTGCGATGAAAATTTTGCAGTGCATATCGGATCCGTTTGGCCGATGGGCCGCGGGTTTCTTGTTCCTCTTCCTGCTGTAGTTTTTCCTGGTTAAAAATATTCTTTGTTAATACGCAGTGGCTCCTTTCGCGGTCGATTTCGTGGTCAACGCTTGTGCGATTCCGCAGCGAAGAAATAATAACGGGTCGTGATGCTGCTGTCGGAGCGGCAACAATTTCCGCTGCCGGTTGGACCACGTCCAGGGCGGCGGAAGAGGTACTAGTCAAGGATGTACTGCTAGTCGTGCTGGTCAGAGACAGGGTGCTACTAACTTGTTGTGTTTGTGGTTGTAGTTCAGTATCGGAAGTAGAAACGACTTCCTGCTGGACAACTTCTGGTAAAGGGCTAAGAGTTGCATTGCTGGATGTTGCTCCGGTTGTAGTTGTATTCGTGGAGCAAGTAGATGTAGAACAAATCGAACTTTCGGATTCATTTTCTGCTGCAGAGATGGAAACAGTTGCAGTGGAAGACAAAGTGCTAGTTGTATTGGCCGCCGATAAAGACGATGATGCAGCCGCTGAACTACTTGGTGAAGGTAATGCAGCCGCTGTAGACGATGAAGGTAATGCTAATGCAGCCGCGGCTGGTACTGAAGATGACGTTGACATCAACGACGTCGATCTGGAAGAAGAACTGGCAGAAGTAGCGGTCGCCCGGTTCCGCTTGTTGGCGGGAAAATTGGAAGTTAAAATCAAGTTGTTACACGGGACAGAGATGGTCAAATTATCAGAGGTATGCATTGCAAAAGTATCGTAGTAGTATAAATTGCAATACAAATTTCCTTAGCATGAGAAATGGAATTTATCATGCGGATTTGCCATAGCAAAAAGATTTGTAATGCAAAACTTGCATTCATACGAGTACGATACTTTTGCACAGGATAAGAGGTAGTACTCGATGTAGAAGTTGATGAGCTGATGTTGATATTACAACTGCTGGTGTTAGTTGTAGTAGTACCGGTCGTCGAAGTTGTACTACTAGAAGAAGATGAAACAGGTCCTTGCGGAACAGATCCAGATCCCGACGAGTTTGTTAAAAGCGAAGAGTTGATGTCATTATTTCTCAATTCTTGAATCGTCTGCACGGTGTCCGCATTACACATTTTTTTCCCCGTATGAAAGTGCACAAAATAACCCTCCTGCCCCCGTTCATTTGTCATTTGAGGTGCACAGCTGTTTGTAGCTGCTGTTGGATTTTTGCCTTCTAATGCTACAACCACCCCAGGCGCCTTGCGTCACGAGCTCCTATAGCGCACCGAGCACAACCACACACATTAGTTGTACGAGAGCCAGTTTGTCGAGGCCGTGTGGTTCTTTATGCATTAAATAAAACCGGGGTAACAAGACGATAGTGCGCAGGATCAATCCCATAGGCAGTCTGACACAACACCCAGTGACTGTATGCCGACATTGCCTCTTCCTGAGAGACGTTGCGCCTATGACGTTGCACAACCCGCCTCCCTCTAGTGTCTCGCTAGTCAGTTTGTCCCGTGCCACAATTGTAAGTGCAGTTAAACTTTATTTCGCATGAAGATCTAGTTCAGAAGTTGCAAAAATGCAACTGAAAAAGATCATGAAACGGGAGGAGTTTTTGTGCACTCTCATAGCGGCCGCGTGCCACTATTACAATGAAAAATGCCCCACCCCCAGCTTGGCAGCATTTGTATTGCAAACCTTTCCAACAGAAACATGCCCCGTCTTGCATATCTCAGCATCACAGATTTTCCATGCTGAATAGGTCAAATTTGTGTTGCGAAGTAGCCCAACAGCAGGCGGATCAGTTATGCACAAGGCACCGCGCGCACCCAGATTCTGCATCAGAAACGCTCGCAATCCTTTTATGCAAGACAAAAAGCTTTCATTTGGAAACTTTGCATGACAAACTTCTGCAAATTCCGGGGGGGCATTTTTCACTGTAATAGCCACCTCGATTATTTTCCTTTCGCGGCGGAACGGGAGCGGCGTCGGTGGCCGTGCGTACGCAGATGCGTCACCCATACCCGTTCCTACCGGCAAGGTTATCCAAGAAAAAAACATTGTAGGTGTAACTTTCTTGGAGGATTAGCATGACAAATATCTCTCGCATGAAAGCAAAAACCTGTCATGCGCAGATAGTACGGGAAAACGCCGTTGAATGGGCCCTACGATGCATGCCAAGCATGACAGACGCAATCCTCTTGCATGTTGCGCATCACAAATTTAAGTTTTTTTCTAGGATAAAGGTGGATGTAGTTGTACTAGAGGTGTTCTTATCAAATGCAAAAATGTCCGGATGTCTGGAAACTTGTGTTGCTGATACTTGCATTGCAAACTTGCTGCTTGTACGGCATAACAGCATGAGAAATTTCGCGAGGCTTATTCCAGATTCATTCGTTTTTAGCATGACAAAGTACCATATCCAGCACGCCAAAAAAACTGGGCAATGGTATTCATGCATTACAGATCTTGTTATCCTTCAAGTCCTGCATCACAAATCCAGACCCAGACATATTTGCACTACATATTTCTTCGCCTTTGTACCTCCTGTGTCTGCTGTGGTCGCGGTCGTCGTGTTCAGCACATTCGTTTCCTTGTTCGTGGTCGAGATATGCATTGCAAAAGTAAAAATATCGCTGTACCAGAACTAGTAGAAGACATCCCATTACAAATTGACTTTAGCACTACAACCTAGTTGTATTATGCGGATCGATAGCAGAAGCGCCGGCTCTGTAATTATGCACGTGCCACCAATTCCTATGAGTTGACAATACTTTTGCACAGGATATGAGATACGAGGTCGTCCACGAAATCCCGGAGGCTGGAGAAATTTTTGTGATGTGTTTTTTCTAAGTATACAGGTGTAGGTTTTATCAATGAAAAAAGCGATACATCATGCCGTTCTATGCATCAGTAATTTGAAAAACAATTTAGTAAATCTACCTTCGGTAACGCTTTCATCCGCGCTGCGTAATCTTCTTTCCCTTCCACCAGTCGCCTTCGATGCCGAAATCTTTCGTCCTTCTCCAATTCTTATCAAATGCAAAAGTGTCTGGGTCTGGAACAAAGCAACTTGCCATCCTGCACCTGAATCATGTAAAAATTTGTGTTGCGTGATTACCAAAAGCTGCCCACTTTTGAGCCAATCGAGAGGCGGTTTCTCATGCACGATTAGGCATGATAGAACTCTCACAGAATCTGTCATGCTATTTCTTACATACCAGACCTCATGGGTGATGGAAAACCTGCATGACAAGTCTTGCATTCTTCCAGACCCAGACATTTTTGCACTTGATAATTCTTTCAGCTTTTTCTTCTTCGCTTCTATTATCGACATTGCAAAAATAGTGTCGCACCACTACTACCCGTACGTAGGTTGAACTTGAAGTAAAAGTATGACAAATTTATCCTTCCGCCAGGATGCAAATTAATCGGAATTTGTAAGTGCGGATTGACCTTTACGCAGAGATTTGTGTTGCATGACTGCAAGTTGTACTAGTACGAGTTTAATAGCACGATGCTTTTGCAATGGATACCTTCGTCTTTTTCCCCCTCGATTTTCTTCACTCTTTTCTCCACCCTGGCGATGTTCTTTCGCACGTCGATATCCCGTCCAAAAACATCCACACCCCAGAGTTGTCATGCAATTCTGCATGCCAAAAAGGTTGCTCATGCGGAGCCCTATGAGAAGCATTTTCTATGTGTGTTTTGGACTTTGTGATGCTAAAATCAGCATGCTATGCTAGATCTGTGATGCTTCTGAATGAACTAGCTCAATGGGATCACACTACGAGGACAAACCTGTCATGCCAAACAGCCACAGCTGGTTGATTTGTCTAGCAAATTTCCCATCTTGACTCTGGTGTGGGGACGTTTTTAATCAGGATAGTCGAATGGCCGCAAGTGCAAAACCATCTTCGTTGCCTTTTTGTCCGGAAACAATGGGGGTTTCGCGCGTTTTGGGGGCGCGCTGAGCAGCAGATCCGCCTTGGACTTTTCTTTGACTTTTTCCTTGTTCGGCTTCAACTGCGGCTCAGGGAGTGCGTTCATAGGAAGAGATAAAGAGGAGCTTGAAGAACCACTGCTGGTGCCATTAGTTGTAGAAGTAGCACCTCCATCTCCCGATTGTAGTAGTGGTGAAGAATTCTGTTTCGGTTTCGGACCCTCATCATCGCTTTCCGATCGCTTTTTCAAGAAGGGCAGCATGAAGGGTTTCTTGGGTTGTGGTTTGGTTGGTTTCGCGTCATCTTTTTTCACCTCCTTGGGGGATTTTTTCGACTTTGGCCGCGAAGAAGATTTTGGCGGAGAACAAAGTGTCCGCTTTTCGTCTTTTTGTTTATCGTCGTGGTCCAGTGTCGTGGAGGTCGATAAAGGTAGCGGAGACGATGCTGATCGTGTAGTAGTCACAGAATTTGTTGTGCCGCTACTCAAGGAAAGTAATTCGTTTTCCTGGTCGGTTGTATTGCGTGCAACTACTGGTACATTCGAAGACAGTGAAAATACACTGTTGCTGTCGTCCGTGGTCGTGGTCCCAGTACTAGGGGTCGATAACGTTGCTGGTTGTGGGGCCTCCTGTGTTTCTAAAACCGGTACTTCTGCACCACTAGCGCCATCATCCTCTTCGGGAATACTGAAGAGGTCCGTCGCCAGCGGGAAGGACATGGACAATGCGTTGGAAAATAAATTACACGAGGCATCAAAAGGAAAAATCCCCCCTCCCCATATCAAAAGCAAGTGTCTGATGCTGGATTTGCGTACACAAATCAGCTTTGTACTGCAGAGAGGCATTGCGGGCAGATCTCCAGGCTCGATAGGGGCGTATGTGTCTAGTTGCTCAGCATGGCAAAGGGCTCCCCTTTAGGCTCAACAGCATGACAAATCGCCTCCGTAATGGGGCGAAAGCTCCTGGCCTTGTCTTCTTGCAAGATGAATATGATTTGTGACCTCAAATCAGCAACACAAATTTTCGGAAAGATACCTTTTCGATATGGGGAGGGGGGATTTTTCCTCTCAATACGAGGAACTCGAGCTGCTGGATGATGAACTGGACGATGAACCGCTGCTACTGGAACTGGACGAAGAGAAAAAAGAACTGAAGGAACTGGAGGAAGCACTACTGTTCGAAGAAGAGCTACTGGAAGAAAAAGAGCTGCTCGAAGAAGAGCTGCTCGAAGAAAAAGAAGAAGAAGAGCTGCTCGAAGAGGAGGAAGCTGCTGCACCACCAGATGAAGAACTGCTACTCCCGCCAGTCATGGTCTCTTCAGAATTATTTTCCTCTTTGATGTTGTTCTCCCCATTGGAAAACAACGAGGACCCGCCAAACGACGCAGCAATTTGTATGGTGTTCTCAACTGTTACATTCTCAACTGTTACATGAATTTGTGATGCAAGAATGGCAACAGTCAAACAGGCAAGCTTCCTGCTTTCGCATCACAGATTTGGCACAGATTTAGATGCTATTTAGCCTCTCGGATATTTGTCATGCGAAGCAGCTTGATCATCTGGCGGCTTAAGGTAGTCTTGCATGACAAATTCATGTAACAGTTGAGAATGTAACGTTTGAGAACTCCATAATTTGTTCCTGCATAGCCACGTCGCGATCAAGTTGTTTCTGTTCCTTCTTATGCATTGCAAATATGTCTGGGTACTCTGGAGAAGTGCAAGGTTTGTCATGCTAGGCCAGCACGACTCTTAAGTCTGTCACGCACGTTAATACCCAAAAACCCTATTTCTCTGTGATGCAGAAACGCAGTTTGTCATGCAGAATAGACATCACTTAGAAGCTCAGAAACTTGTCATGCTGAGCCATCATCTGTGGCCTCCACATGCTAAGTCACTCAGCATTACAAGTTTCCAGACATCCAGGGATATTTGCATTTGATACTTCTCCAACATGGTTAAAAACTCTTCATTATGCTGTGCAAAAGTATCGTACTCGTATAAATGCAGGTCTTGCATTACAAATTTCTTTATCAAGGCAAATCAGCATTACAAATTTTATTTCTCATGCTAAGGAAATTTGTAATGCATTTATACGAGTACGATACTTTTGCAGTTCATATTCATGCTCGTCATCCTCCGCGGGTAGAATGCCAATAATCCCATTTCCAAACCCAACCACAATATCGTTGGCTGAAGTGACCGGCGACGCGATGTTCTCGTCATCTGACAAATTATTATTTTCCTCGTCCTTGTCATTGCTTATGCTTTTCGGAGGAGGAGGTGACGGAGGAGGTGACAGGGGTCTTTTCGGGTTTTTGTTTCTCACCGCCGTCGGCGTCTTGTCGTTTTTCATTTTCTCCTCGTCTTCCCCTCCACTGTCCGCCCGACTTTGCTCTTCCTCGCTATCCGAACCGGAAGAGGAGGTCAAATGGTACCAAGTCGGACTAACATCTTCATCGTCACTGAAGTTACAAGTGTCTCGACGGTTCATCATCTTTTCCGGGTCAATCAATTTCCCTTTGCAAATCTTGGCCGCCGGCAGCAGCGGAAACTTCTTCTTGTCTAGCCGAATAGTCGTCCCCGTATTGGGCGCGGGGAGCGGAATCTGGATTTCGTAGTCGGTTTTGGACACGTCGTTCGGAATCTTCTCGTTGTTTTGCAGTTCTAAAAAAAATTTTGCACCAATGCTGTCGCCCATCTCCACCCGGTACACCGGGGCGGGGCCGTCAGAATCGTCTTCGTCGGGCGTTGGGTAGCAGCGACGAGTACTCAAGTATCAAAAGTAAAAACCCACCCACCCTAGATCAAAATTGAAATCTGTGATGCTGAATTGTGGCCACAAGTCAGCTTTGTCATGCTAGAAGGGAAGTAGAGATGCGGACTGTAGTGCTGGCTAACGCAGGAACGCCTTACGCCTTCAGCATGACAGGAAGCAACTGGAAATAACGGGAAACAGCACGACAAATTGCCTCCAAACACGGGAACACCTGCCTCGCTTGGCCTTCTAGCAATATATTTGTGTACTCAAATACAGCAACACAAATTTCGTTTATCGATATGGGGAGGGGGGATTTTTCCTCGCAGTATCAACCGCTTTGGCTTCCTTGTCTCCGTATCCCCAATCACGTCCCGGTATCCCGAAGCAATTTGCCAAAAAGAACTTTTCTCAATTTCTTTACGGACCTTTTTTCGCTTTTGCTCATCCGCAAGCTCTTGCTGGTACTCCTCATCGGTCATGCGGCCGAAGAGCTGCTCCTGGTCCTGCTCCGGGGAGTTATTGTTGTTGTTGTTCGCGGTGCTGGTGCTGCTGTCATCTCCTTTTTTGTCCGCCACCTCCTGGTTATTTCCATTGTCACCTCCAGCTGCGCTAGATGAACCTGCCACACGTTCTTGCGCGTTCTCCGCACTTCTCTTGCCCTGCTGCGCCTGCGTCCTCTCCTGCGGCTCCACAGGAACAACTGGGCGGTCGGTATTTGTTCCGTTATTTTCACCATCTCCCGCAGTGGAAGTCGCTGCTGCAGCCGCTGCTGCTTCTCTCGCTTTCTTCTCCGCTATATCAAGTGTAAAAATGTCTGGGTCTGGAAGATCAAGATTCTGACACTTGTCATGCACGTTTTGCATGAGTCATGATGTCTGTGATGCATTCCCCAGCAATACAGATTTTTTGAGGGCTTCTTGATGCGTATTCCGCATGACAAATGCCATCTCAGCGTAGCAAAAATTGCATTTCCTTTGGTACTCATGCAATACAGATTTTTTTGGAATCCAAATGCAGCATCACAAGTTGCATTCTTCCCGACCCAGACATTTTTACAGTTGATACGCTATCAATTGTGCGAACCTCCCATTCGGATGGAATCCGAAGTCATCATCGTCATATCAAATGTATTCCACAGAAAAAGACCGACAGGTCATATTTGTAATGCAAAAATAAATACACAGGAAAATCTGTCATGGGCGAGGCCATAGCATCCTGTTTAGGGCATGCAATACAGATTTTTTTGTCTATTTATTTTTGCATTACAAATATGACCTGTCGGTCTTTTTCTGGGGGATAAAATGCAAATATGTCTGGGTCTGGAAACTTGTAATGCTGAGTTGTGAAGAATAGTGACTGCTCTGTAATGCACAACCAAGCATGCGAAATTTTTGCACGGCTAAGTGCTGCGTTTTGTGAATGACAATTTGTGTTTTTGCATGACAAGCAAAAGAGGTCTCTTCTTCAAAACGCATCGCAAACTCTTCAGTCATGCCAGACAAGCATGACAAACCTTGCATCCTTCCAGACCCGGACATATTTGCAATGCATACAACTGAGCGCTTCCTCTTTTCGTCTTCCCCTGGTACCTTACCCGCTGCCGCTAATCTCGCTAGATGCTCCGCCTTTAATTGTGCGAGTCTCCCAGGCGGGGTGGGTGGACTGAGGGAACGACGATATCAAAGGTAAAAGTGTCTGGGTCTGGAAGATTGCCAGGTTTGTCATGCACATTTTGCGTGACTCCTGATCGATCTGTGATATGCATGCCCTAGCATCACAGATTTTGTGAGGGCTTCCTAATGCCTATACCGCATGACAAATGCTCTTTCCGTGTAGCAAAATTTGGACTCTCTTTGCTGCTCATGCAATACAGATTTTTCTAGAATCCAAAATCAGCATGACAAGTTGGATTCTTCCAGACATCCAGGGATTTTTACAGTTGATAGACGACCGTCGTCGTCGTCGGTGTTGGCGTTTTTATTTCGGGGCCGCAGGGTATCCCAGGAAAAAAGTGTTACAGTTACACATTGGTTGGGGTTTCTGCATCACAAAGTTGCTCGACATGGCAAAGAAAACCTCTGATGCGCAGACTATAAGGCAAAACACGAATGAAATGCGGTTTGCAAGCATTTTCTGCATGACAGAGCTTGTCTGTCTTGCTAGTCTCCCACCAGAGTGCGTAACTATAAACACTTTTTTCCCACGATACAGGGCTTGCTTCGGAGCTGCGGAGGACCGACCGCGAGTTGCAGACATCGTGGACGTTGTTGCGATCGGAGAAGATAACTGGGAGCTGCAGGTGCTTCCAACATTAACACCATCGCTGCTACTCCCTGCGGTACCGGTACTAGTTGTGGCAGAAGAAGCTGCTCTCGTACTAGTAGTACAGCTACCCCCTTGCAGGCGCTCCTCGGGGTTAGTATTCAAGTTTAGGTTTGGCGGTGTATTGCTATTGTTTTTGTCAGTGTCACCCGCGGCGCGCTTACCTCCCGAAGAAATAACGGAGGGCGAGTATTGAGAGGAAAAATCCCCCCTCCCCATATCGAAAAGGTATGTTTCCGAAAATTTGCGTTGCTGATTTGAGGTCACAAATCACGTCTGTCTTGCAAGAAGACAGGCGCAGAGGCTTCCACACCATTATGGAAGCGATTTGGCATGCTGTTGCGCCTAGGGGGCACCAGCAGGGGGGATTTTTCCTTTTGATAGCGAGGAATAACGTGATGAAAAACTCGGATTTTTTTCACCGCTGCTACCTGCTGAGGATGCGGTCGACGGCGTAGTTGTCTCCGGTTGTTGTAAACAAATGTTGTCCGTCGAACTCGAAGTAGTGTTGTCTACTTTTCTGTTGGTATCTTTACTACCACCTGACAGAAGGGAAGAAGATGCAACAGGGGCATCAGCATTGTTATTGCGGCCTTTACCTCCCCCAGGACCAGGAGTAGCAGAAGTACTGCCCGATAAGTGATCTGGGCTTGCGTTCTTCCTTTCACCAAGTTCTTGTTGTGGGACAGCAGTAGAACGGCCAGTATTACCACCGCCCGGAGATACCGCCGCGTCAGAAGAACGACCGCCAGTATTTTTACTTGCACTTCCCCCCAGTCCGCGCGGTCCACATTTTCCCAATCCTTTCTTGCAGACGTACGGTGGCGGCCGCTCGCCGGGCCGTCGCGGTCGCGGCCGGATGGGGGGCATGGGAGGAAACACGTTGGGGAGAGGCAAAACTTCATCTGTGATCGTACTATCTCTAGCTGCTGTGCCTGGAGTTGATGTTCCCGGTGGCTCTTGCGCGACTTGCGGCGCAGAAGGGAGAGTCACCGGCTGTACAGGAACTGGTCCAGCAGGAATTTGCTGCGATGCGGCCGGAGATGAGGGCGCAACTTCTACGGGGGTAGGAACTACTGGTCCAACGGGCTGCTGCGACGCGGCAGGAAAAAGCACCGGCGCCTGCCGGTTGTTTTTCCGTTTCGGGACCACGATGTTGTTGGTCATCAAGGTGGCAGAAGTTCTTGTTGTGCTGTTGGTACTAGTAGCAGTGGCGGTGTCCGTTGCGCCGTTCTTGTTTTGCCCCGTAGCTCTACTTTCGTCTCCAGAGCGGCTGGGTATCGTCGACGTCGTGTCCAGTACCGGGGCGACGACAACGTGATTATCGTTTTCGGTAGCCGATGACGTTTTGCTGTCAACCGGCACAACAAACGATGCCGCAGTACTATCTTCCGGCGCAGGAGCAGCTGCGTTGAATCGGGAGTAAATATCAGAGCTGGTGGTCGTGGATTTCTTTTCTTCGCTCCCTGCACCGGTGGAAGGACCATCTCCACCGCCAGGAGCAGCGCCGCTATCTTCCTGCTGCTTCTCCGAAGCCGAAGGAGGTTCACCAAGGTCGAATAAACCGGTCGAAGAAGTAACCGCATCTCCCGCCGTACTAGGAGAAGATGAGGCAATTGCAAGAACTGCAACACTCGGCAGTTCCTCTTGTAGCTGACGTTCATTTCCGTCTACAAGTTCGGGAGGAGCGGTCAAGGGTACAAGGCTCTCATCTCCTGCTGGCGGGTTGAGTAAGCTGTAGTTACAAGTTGTAGGTTTGTCCACCTTGTCGACGTTTTTGGTGGTTTTCTTGTCGGTCTTCACTCCATCTTGGTTGGACGAAGTAGTAGTTGTTGGCAACTCATGTCGTGGTTCCACTGACAAGGAAGTTTCATCTTCCGCCTTAATACTCCGGGGTAACGAAGATTCAGTTTTGCTTTTCTTTTCCGCTAAATCGAAATCGTGATGTTCATCCGCCTGATCGTGTACCGGTGCTGCAGCATGGGTGGCAACGCACGCGTTATTCTCCTTAAAATCCACAACCCCACCGCGTCCGTCGGAAAGGATGTTCTCTGCTGGTGTTTTTTCCTGAAAAATCCGAACTGGTTCATCTTCGTCCCCCTCCAACGGTAACAAAGTCTCCTTTTTCTCCACCATTTTTTCCACGCGGGGCTGAAACTGGGTGGGCTGGCAAGCTGCAATCTCGTTTTGGTCAAATGAATCCGACTTGACGACGTCCTGGACAAGAACTGGCTCGGGTTCCTTCTTTTCGTTAGAATTTTCCACTTTTTTGGCAGCGCAGGAGCTTCCACCAGTTGGAATATTACCTGCTTGTTCCAAATGTACCCGGTCCACCTCCTTGTTCTCCTTTTTCTTTTCCTCGACCTTTTTCGAACTACTTTTGACCCCCTCCAACAGTTGCCTCTCAATTTGCTGCTTCAACTCCGCCTTTGCTTTGCTTACACTTTTATCCTGTGCAAAAGTTTCGTACCCGTTTCGTATGAATGGAAATGCAAGTCTTGCATTACAAATCTTTTTCTGAAGGTAAATCCGCATTAGAAACTTTATCTCTCATGCTGAGTGAATTTGTAATGCATTTATACGAGTAGGAGGACGATACTTTTGCAGTTCATAGCTTTCCTCGTACTCGGCTAGTGTGTAGGTTCTGGACAAGTCGATCCCGCTGGGCACGTAGGTTAACTTTGCATTTGGCTGAGCTGGTGCGCCGTTAAGTAGATTTGGATGGCGGTCTCGTTTATTTTGACTCGTTTTACTGTCGTTCAACATCTGCACACGGTTATTTTCCTTCTGCTCTTCACTCGTCTCCGCGGAGTTGCCCTGGTCGTGCTGCGCCGCAACCGGTGCGGCCAAAGCCTGCGCTTGGCTGAGAAACATTGAAAAGTGAAAGAAGCATATCACACCAAAAATAAACGTATAGTGGTTCTCCGATACCGATTCTATGCGTCTCGAACTCGAGCATGTTGGATTTTATCAAGTATATCATTCGTTGCTTATGAACTACACAAGATTCTACACAAATAAACATGAAGATTTTCTTGACGATACTATGCGCAAAAAATCTCGTCGTCCACAAGTACTACACACATCAAAACCACAGTTCTGTACCGATCCTCCCACTGTCCTGGTCCACGGCGATTCACCTTTCCCTGTTTCACTTTCTGTCGGTTCTGCTTCAAGACCCGCAAGTGCGCACTGCAATACAGCTCCTCCGGGTTGGAAACGTGCATGAAGTCCTCGTCGTCTGCTGTCAATTCTATAACCGGGGGTTTGCTGGGAGTTGTGTAATTTTCGTCTTCATCGGAGTTGATTTCTTCTTCCTTTAATATTCCGTCGTCGTGTAGGAAATTTTTGTTTCGGCGTCCCACACGACGACCAACAACCGTGTTTTCTAAATCCAAATCCATCTTGTCGGTAGTAGTGGTAAAAGAACCTCCCACGACAGGGACAGCCTGTGAAGAAAATGAGTTGTTCAGCATTTTTCGTCCGGCGTCCTTATCCCCCCGTTCTTGTTTCATCCGTTGATCATCATTTTCATTCCGGGCTAAAAAAGCCGCTACAAAATCCTCTGCTTCGGTCGATGTTTTGTGTTGTTTTTTAACACCAGATTTCTCCTCATTGTCGTTGTGGTTGATGCCCATGCCCTGCATCGAATATGCATTGCAAATATCCACTCTGGATGTGTATTGGAAATGAACTGCAACTTGTCATGCGAAATCTGGATCCGACGCAAATAACTCTGTGTTGCATGAATACCAAAAGTTGTGGTCCGCTTTTGAGGACCACTGGTTGAGAGGGAGTTTTTACTTCTCATGCAGGATATTGGGCATGATACAGATCTCACAGAATCTGTCATGCTAGGTCCTGCATGATTCATCCAGCCCTCGTGGCTGATGGTAATCCTGCATGACAAGTCTTGCATTCTTCTAGACGCTTCTAGGAATTATATTTGCAATGGATACCAAATTCGTCAAAAGATCGTCGATCGTCATCTCGGTAGCTGCAATTGTAGTTGAATTTTTCCGGTCAACATTTTCTAAATTCTTCTCATCTGTGCTAGTAGTTGTGTTTACAGTTGTCAAAGTGGTCATCGCTACTTCCGAATAAAAATTGCCCTTCCTCCTCCCGTTCTCATCCAGTTTTCGATTCGTGCGGTTGGTTCTTTCATCGATATCCTCAACCATCGGTGGCCGCCGCTTCAGGGAGGTAGTTGAGAGTTGTTGTAGTTGTTGGTCCTCCTCCTGTCCTGCTTGCACCCCCGTTGTATAAAAATTACTGTTGTAGTCGTTGTGCAAAAGCGACGCCGCGCTACTATTGCTTTGATGTGATGCCTGCCCCGGGCGGATGAAGCTTGGAATAGAAGAACTCCCTGCATCTGTGTTCATCTTCTCGTGTTTGTCACTGGGAAGGTTGCCCTGCGCTCGTCGCAGGTCTAACAAAAACGAAACCAGAGCAGCCTCGGGAGCGAAACTGCTGGTAGTGCACTTTGTAGGTCTACTACTTCCGGGGTCATGTTTCATCTGTAACACGGCAGGAGCGGGGGATTCTTCGACAGCAGGGGGTTCCTGCTCACCGCTCGGTTGGTTCTTGGGTTGTTGTTTATTTACTAGGCTGTTTTCAACATCATCTTGGGTAGTAGTTGTTGTTTTTTTGGACGAACTTGACGTGGTCCCACGATCATCTCCTGCATTTGCTGGCTGTGTCGTGGACGAGTCGTGTGATACAATCGGTGCTGCAGCCCGGGTGGTCGTTTTCGTTGAATTGCTCAAGGTGGATTTGGGGTTGGCGGCTTTACTAAGGGTAATATTGTCGGTCTGATCCTCTACATCCAGCAGGCATGGCGGATTGGGTACCGCTGCCGGCTTCGCCGGAGACTCAGGCATGGTTTGGGTTTTCTGGGTTGAATTTTTCCGGTAGTTTTATTTTGTCGCAATTCTATGTTTGACTCTGATGTCTCTTTTACTTTCTACAAATAAGGAACAAAACCCGATGAAACATGTGAAATAAAGTTTGTATTCGACCGTTACCAGTCGTGGCACGCAAGAACAGATCGACGCAACATGGGTAATTATCATTATGCGAGCGTGCCGGCACGCTGATGATTTATATTTAATAATTTGTAGTATGTATGTTTTTTTTCATCAGGAAATAAGCCGTCCGTGATTTCTTTCACATAGGCCCAGAAACTGCTGGACTTAGAAGAGGAATCCAGGCTGCTCGCCGTGACGGTTACAAGCACTTAAGCACACCACATCAATCTCCGCAACAATGCTACCAGGTAACCAGTTGCTCAGCGGGACTTGAGTATCAATATACGGAAAACAGCAGGCAATCTTTTTTGGCATTCGCAGGGAACACTTACAGAGGACAACTCCCAAAACAGCAGGCTCGTGACATTCACAGATACACCTTCCCAGGCGGCGCGCCATCTGAGGAGAGAAACCACGCCGGCCCGCCGCGGGCGGGTGCGAAAACGCTGCGGCCTGCGTACGAATGCACGGCGCCGCGCTGGCTGACTTGCTTCCAAGGCCAACGGGCGGGCCACCTCGCTCACTGAGGCTGGCCAGCTCGGCACGCCGGCAGGACACAAGCGGGCGGCCACTCATCTCCAGGGCATGGGCGTGCCACGCCCCCCCCCTGGCGGGGGGGTGGCGAGGGGCCCTCGCGGGCGGTGGTGGCGAGAATGAACCAGCGCCGCCAGCCGGCAGGCGGTCCCGGACCGCCTGACCGGACCGGGTCCGGTCAGGTCTGCCTTGCGAGCGACCCGGCATACCTCGCAACGCGGAGAGGGAGCCTCCGCGCTGCCGGCAGCGGGGCGGGGGGGGGGGCCAAACTACCCAAAGCGCCGCCCCGCCGGGGGCGCTGCACACGGTCACGGCGCTGCCCTTGCTCGGCGTTTGCAGCGGCCCGCTCTCGTGCTTCCGAGCTGGGCAGCATGAACAAAACCCACCACACAAGCCGCACGGGTGCCGGGTCCTATGCCCGTCCCAGCGCCAGGGGAGCACGGGCGCCGAATCGCATGGCGGGCCCGCTACCACATGCCTGCGGGCAGATGCCGGCCGGCGCCTTTTCGACGAGCCCGGCAAGGGGCGCGGCTGACGGCGCAGGGCGCGCGCAAAGGGGCCGCGAAATCCCGCGCGCGCGGGGCGGGGTACTCAGGGCGGGGCGCCGTGCGCGTGGCCCGACACTCCCACAGGAGGGCGCGGGCAAACCGCGCCCGCGCCCTACAAATAGGCGCGGGGCGCGCGGGCCCGCCGCCCAGTCTCGCGGCCTCCGCTCAACTCGATCACGCGCGCGCGCCCCTCGGCATGCCCGTCGTCGACACTGTTGCCGGGGCCGCGCGCGCATCTGGAGCGCGCTGCATCACGCGGGCCGTGCACATCTTGGGCGTGCTGCACTTGATCCCGCGCGCCGCCCCGGAGCTATTTCGGCGCCTTTCACCGGAGCTATTTCGGCGCCTTTTATTTCGGCGCCTGATTCCGCCCGCCGCATTCACTCGCGGCCCCTGTTCGAATGGCATCAAGTTACAAGGTAGCAACTTTGCCCGCTGCTGGTTCATTTCGGCAGGATTCATCTCCGTTCAATGTATGTAGAAATCTCTGATGAACACCACGCACCTCTTCGCGTTTGGGACGAGACAAAAACGTAGAAATAAGTTCATCTGCATTTTAAATTCTCTTCGACGACGAAACTTCAATTAATCTTCGGTGCTGGGAGCTGTGTAATTCTCCCATGTTATCCACAGCTCTATCTTTAATACGACTTTTGCGGCGGCAGAAGCACCGGTTTTTTTAGTACTTATCGACCAGCACATCAATTGCGTTTCTTTCTCTTCTTCTTCTTCTTCTTCTTTCTCTTCTTCCAATCGGTGAATTCAACAAAGTGCAAGTCTTGCAGGGTTCCTATTTGCGAGCAGCGACTACAAGAAGTCTACGACGAATTATACAATGTTTATGTTGAATGATGTCGTCCACCTACGCTACTTATGTAAAATCAGAATCGGAAAGAAGAAAGCTGACTAAAAACGGATGGGATTCATACTTAATTTCATTTCTGATAGCCGGCACTGATCTTTGGAAAAAAAAGCTCCGCTACTTCTAAGCAGTGTCGTGAGAAAAATACAATCACTCAGTGTCTCAAGAGAGTACACGACCACGACAGCGATCACGTCGACGACCTCTACAACATCAATAAGGAAGATGAACCAACGCCACTCTATACATCGCCACCAACCTTCCTGCTCAGCATCATCATTTTTATCTCCGCCGACAAATTTTGATGCCTTAACCACGACCCGTGCATCGGCATCCCCAAGAACTCCCCGCCGAGGCCGACCCACTAATATCTGCATCAAGACCATTCGCAGCTCGGCATTCTTATTTGTATATTGTGCAACATCTTCTCCTCAAAAACCTCCCGGTTGTTTTTTGCGTCGCCAACAACCGTGTTTGCTGTTTCCACTTCGCTTTTGTTTCATTGTGGTTCGTCGTGGTCGGTGTAGTTTGTTTATTGGGTTTTTCCGCACAGCCTTTCTAATAGAAAAATCGCAAACCTTGGGTGGAAGGTTCTTCCCTTGGGATCGTCAACATCCAATTCCGCCCCTAGCAGCTGGTTGTTGAAATTCAACATCTACGGAAATTTTCATCTCGATGTAGTTGTAGGAAAGTGGTTAGTGGTACTGGTTAGAGAGGGTTTGCAAGTTGCTGTTCATCGTAGGTGTTGAGAAATTCTAAATTTTTTGTTGTTTCCCCGTCCTGGGGCTGGGTAGTTGTAGTGGATTTCCATCCTCATCTACCTCCGAAACCGTGTGGCCACTTTCATCCGTATCTACCAACAACTCCTCCACCGCTGTTATTTAGTTGATCTCCGCTGTCATTTTCATCCTGGGTAGTTGATTTTTTTTGCACCCGCTCGTCGCCCCAAGATCTCCTGCATCTGCTGGTCGTTTAGTTGACGAATCGCGTAATACAATCGGTGCTGCGGCCCGGGTCGTAAGCTCTATTATTTGCATTTTGGTTTCAAGCACGCGCAATTGAAGTAAGGGCAATTAAGGTTGTCTTTAACCGTTAATGCTGTTACTGTTATACACAAAAATAGATCGGATCGAAGATAATTACGCGAGTGACAGCCGCGGCTGCGCGCTGGTCTATTGCTTTGCGCTGTTTCTTTTTTCTCTGGAATATAATTGGATACACCGTGCGCGACTTGTGTCACAGCTGCTATGTTGAGAAGAGGAATCCAAGCGCCCCAGCTCATCATCGTCTTTCTTAATGAAAGGCATATAGAATGACAGAACGCAGTCACATCTAGCTCCGCAACAACGCTAGCTACCGGCCGTGGATATTCATTACGGACAACAGCTGCCGGCAAATTTTTTTGGCAGGGAACACTTACAGAGGACAAGTCGCCAAACATGCTGGCGACATCGATTGATACATCTTTCAAGGCGGCGCGCCGGCCATTAGAGGAGAGATGCCACGCCGTCCCGCCCCGGGCGGGCGGGCGCGAAAAAGCTGCGACCTCCGTATGCTTGCGCGGCGGGCGCCGCACTTCCACGGCCAGCCGGCGGGCAGACTGCAGCAGGGCGCAGACCACAGGCGGCCGGGGTGTTCGGTGGGCAAGGCTGGCCACCCTGGCAAGGCGGGCCAGCTCGGACGGCGGGCAAGGCCGGCGGCAGGCCCAGACAGCGCAGGGCACGGGCGAACGGCCCTCGCTAATTGATTGCCAGGGGCGCACCAAGCAAGGTAGGCGGCCGGCCCCCGCGGACATCGGCGGGCGGTGCTATTCCGCGCAGGCAATCGCCCGGGCAGCTACTGGCGCCGCGCCGCCCGCTTCTGTGGCCGCCCCGAAGGGCGGCCAGGCTGTCAATATCTGTCGCTGGCGCCCTCTCCTTCCTCCGGAACGCCCTGCCGGCGTTCCAGCAACGTTCCAACAACGGGCAGTCCCAGTTCCGAGTCAAACGGCCGGCCCGCTTTCATTTTCTTGCGGGGCGGCCAGATGCCGGCCGGCACCAACCTTGTCGAACCCCCCGGCAAGGGGCGCGGCGATGTCGCCGCGCGGCGCTTGGCAAGCGGGCGCCGCGCCTAGAAGGCCCGCCCAGGACTGTCGGGGCAGGCGGCGCGCAAAGGGGCCGCGAAAGCCCGCGCGCGCGGGGCGGGGTACTCCGGGCGGGGCGCCGGGGGCGTGGCCCGATATTCCTGCAGGAGGGTGCGGGCAAACCGCGCCCGCGCCCTACAAATAGGCGCGGGGCGCGCGGGCCCGAAGAGGGGGCGACATCAAGTTACAAGGCAGCAACATTGCCCGCTGCTGGTTCTCTTCGGCCGGACTTGTCTCCGTTCAATCTATGTCGTATTCTCCGAACACCACGCTCCTCTTCGCGTTTGGGACGAGACAAAAACGTAGCAACAAATTATCGTCGTTCTAATTTCTCTTCGACGACGACGACGAAACCTCCTCAATCTTTGATTATTCGGTTCTGTAGCGGTCGAATTCTCCCAAAACTCATATCACTAATACCACTTTTGCGCCAGCAGATGCACCTGTTTAGTACTTATCGACCAGGAGCACATCAATCGCGTTTCTTTTTCTTTTTGCAATCGCTATATAAATGCAACAAAGTTTCTATTTGCGGACAGTGCCAACAAGTCTGCGAATTTACAATGTTTTTATTGTTGTTCACCTATGCAGCTACGTATGTAAAATCAGAAGCGGAATAAAGAAGAAAGCTCACTACTTAACGGAGGGGGTCCCGTTTTGATAGCCGGCACTGATCTTTGGAAAAAAAAAGCCGCGCTGTTATCAAGTAGTGTCGTCAGAAAAATAGAATCACTCAGTGTGTTAAGAGAGTACAGCACCACACCAGCAACCACGTCGACCTCTACAACATTAATAGAGAACCAACGTTACCCTTATACATCATCACCAACTACCCCTCACACCATCATCATGATCTGCGCCGATCTCAACCACGGCTCGCGCATCTCCACGACCCTCGTGCGCGTCTTCTAAAAAAGGTGCCAAAGCACAGCTCCCTTTCTTGTGCGCCCCCTTTGCATGCTTAACCTCCGATTCCGGCCAGGTACTAGTAGCTGCGCCCGTAGTTGGTAGTTGAAGCGATGTGCTGTTCGTGGTAGTAGCTGAGAAAAAAAATGTGTCTCGCATCAACCTCCGTTTTTAGTTGAAACTAAACACCTTTGTTTTTTTTCATCTCGTTGTAGTTGTAGGAGAGTGGTTACTGGAATTGGTAGTGGTTGAAAAGAGGGTTCATTGCGAAGACGGCGCAACTTGCTGTTCATCATAGTAGTTGGGGTATTCGGTAAAAATCTTGTTATTTCCTCGTCCTGAATAGTTGTAGTGGATTTCCATCCTCAGCTGCCTCCGAAACCGTGTGGTCATTTTCATCTTCCGTATCTACCAACAACTCCTCCGGTGTTATTTCACACGCGTCTTTCATCTTGGGTAGTTGATCTCCGCTGTCATTTTCAGCTCGTTCGACCTCCACCTGCGTCACGGTTAACAAATCCTTCTCGTCTTCCAGAATTCGAATTCCTCTACTCCCAGGCTGTTCTTCCGGAAACAAAACCATCTCCTCTGCGAATTTTGAAAAAAGTCCAAACAAGCCGTTCTGTTCATTGCTGTTGTTTTATCCTCCGTGGGACAAACCTCATTTATCAGCAAAGCACCAGCACCGTCACGTTGTCTGGTTTTGGATTGTTGGTAGTTGTCTTTGCTGACAAACCAATCGTCAAGGTTGGATTGTTGGTTGTTTTTGTTCCCGTGGCCAAGACCATGGTTTTCCAAAGATGATTTTCCTCCTCCTCACGTTGGGACGTTGTTGCACAAAACCGCCGTTTTACTCAACTGCTGCAGTCCGCAGCTTGCCAATGCTCCTGCTGCAGTCCTCAACCCCTAACCTCCCCAGAGAAAACCCGACGCCGTGCCGTTGGCAAGTAAGTACCTAAATTTATTAAAAAAAATCAGAGCAGAGGACACGCGAGTACTAGCACTATAAACTTTTTCATGTGAGGAACCAGATCCATCCGCCGCTGTTGCGATAGCTATACCACGATGATGATCTTGATCGCATGTAAACGGAAACTGCAATCAAACTTCACGATAGATCTTGAAAAAAGCGCGTACGAAAATGACAATTTTTGCATCTTTGCGTGAAGGCTGCGAGAGGTGGACTAAAGAGGACTAAACGCCGCTTTTTTCCATGGATTCCATTGATAAGCCGCTCGTGTTTGGAAAAACATATCGCACTGCCAATTTATCGTTTCTTCTAGGATCGGAAGCGCTGTTTCATTGTAGTATTACAGCGGTTTTCGTTTTTAATCGCTGCGAATTCTGCCTGGTAGTTATATCTTTCTTCCGAATGGTTTCAATGCGTTTTCTTCTGGTTTGAACACAGCATCGCTTTTTTCCAAATAAAATCAGTAGCACCACGACGCCCACGCGGGACGAAATAGGAAGATGGTAGCACTTTTCGTTGCGATGAGAAGGGTAAACGGTTTTCGTACATTTCATTCAATCAACGTTGTACTTGTACAGGGCTTATTCCACCTTAGCACGCATAATACAAAAAGAAAATTCGGATTCATTGATCGCTCTAGCAAAGAGTCCTTGGGCAGCTGCAGTGGTCTGCTTTGGTTGTAGTTTATTTTGTACAGTTTTTACATTCGTGGTCACAGATAGGCTCGAGGTGTGCTGTCTTTTTTTGTTTTTACCGGGCGATGTTTGAAACGGTGCATTTATTCTGTGCTAAATGGCCCTCGGCACTACGCACGACATCATGATCAATAGGCTCATGCCATGATGTTGATATCTGTGCTGTTTGATAAAAGGTATATTCAGTGTTTGCGAAACAAATAGTGAACTCTTCGCGGTGTTTTATCTGGGAGATAGTAATCCATAGTTTTGCAGAAATAGGAAAGCCTACCGCTTTGCTTTGCAACGGTTCGAGATCACTTCCACCTCTCCGTGGTACATAAAAATCTTTAGGTTTTGCCGCCTGTTCGGCCTGCTAAAAACTCCTTCGTCTAAATTACGAAACTCTGGTTTTGCTGATGTTTAAAGTTAAACTCGAAATGGTGAAAATGCGATAAAATTCTTTTGTCTAAAATACGAAACTTCTGCTTGTGCTTTTCTGATGGCACTGTCACCAGTCAATCTGATATCATCAACGTTTGCTATTGTATTGTCTTGTTTTGCAGCAGCGCGTCTAAAATTACGAAATTCTGGTTGTAAAAAAGGGCGATACAAGTTTTGAGCTTGTTCCTTCTTCTATCAAAAGGAAAAATCCCCCTTCCCCATATCGAAAGGGTATGTTTCCGAAAATTTGTGTTGCTGATTTGAGGTCACAAATCGCATTTGTCTTGCAAGAAGACAAGGGCAGAAGCTTCCGCCCCATTATGGAAGCGATTTGTCATGCTGTTCTTGGGCCTAAAGGTGAGCCGTTTGCCGTGCTGCACAGCTAGACCCATACGCCCCTACCTAGCCTGGGGGTCTGGCCGCCGTGCCTTTCTGCAATACCAATCTGATTTGTGTACGCAAATTCAGCATCACAGATTTCCTTTTTGATATGGGGAGGGGGGATTTTTCCTTTCGATATCTTCCGGAGGGAAGCGGAAGTGGAGCACAAACTCTGAAAAAAAGTCAGTACAAAGATGTTGATGTGTTTCTTTTGTTAGCCCGATTGTTAATACACTGTATTGTAATTTCATAACATTTTACTTGTTAGTTGCCTGTGCCTCCTCCGACCGCTATTATTTGTTTTGCATGCTGATCATGAGCGGGAACCCATCAGCGGACGCGAATTCCTGCAATTGTTCCCTGGACTTCGCTATGGATTGCAAAAATGTCTGGGTCCTCTGGAAGATTGCAACTTGTCATGCTAAATCGGAATAATGCAAAAATCTGTGTTGCATGAGTGCCAAAAGCTGTCCACTTTCGACCAAATTGGGACGGAGTTTGATTTCTCATGCAGGACAGGCATGGCAGAGACCTCGTCGCTGACTCTGTCATGCGAGGTCCCGCATTCCACACCTCATGGCTGGTCATGGAAAACCCGCATGATAAGTTTACACTCTTCCAGACCCAGATGACATATTTGCATTTGATATTCGCATTGGGGAGCTGTTTGTTCTTGCTGTGTCCGATCGGGGGCATTTTTCCGTTGCTACCGCGGGTCCCATATGAACTGCAAAAGTATCGCACTCGTATAAATGCATTACAAATTTCCTCAGCATGACAGATAAAATTTGTAATGCTGATTTACCTCAAGAGAAAGATTTCTAATGCATGATTGCAATACGAATACGATACTTTTGCACACGATATCCCAGGGGTGCGCGGGCCGGCGTTGATGCCGCCCCCGAGATTATTCGACGGCGTCATCTGGTTGGCGGCGCTGGCTTATCAAATGCAAAAATGTCTGGGTCTGGAAGAATGCAGACTTGCCATGCATGTTTTGTATGATGATTGATGCCTCTAATGCATGATCTAGCAACACAGATTTTTCGAGGGCTTCCTAATGCCTATTCCGCATGAGAAATCTCTCCGCGTACCACAAACTGGAGTCCTGCTGCTGGTCATGCAATGCAGATTTTTTTGGAATCCAAAGACAGCATTACAAGTTGCAATCTTCCAGACCCAGACATTTTTGCAATCCATATGGCTCCGACGTTCCCGGCCTGCTCGTTCTTTAAAGACTTCAGCTCCATCTCCATTTGCTTTATCTGATAGTTTTTTTTGGCGTAGATTCTCATTTTGTCATCCGCATCAACTACACATTGTTCCCATGGGATCTAATCTGTCATGATGCATGAAACAGAATCCACCCGGATCCATAAAACACCGTATAAAAATTTCAGAACCGCTCCAAGAACATCATCAGTAAAAAAAGTACCTTGTCCGCGTAGTCCTTTTGACTTCTCCGCAATGCGTTAATTTCCTCAATCAGCATGTATCCACTGCAAAAGCATCGCACTCGTATAAATGCCAGTCTTGCATTACAAGTCTTGTTCCCAAGGCAAATCAGCATGACAAATTCCATTTCTCATGCTCAGCAAATTTGTAATGCAATTCATACTAGTACGTTGCTTTTGCAGTTCATAGCATGGAATTTTCCCCGATTTTCCGCAGGTTATTCACCTTTCCCATCTCCGTTTGCTGTTCGGACTTGGAGGAGAGTTTTTTCAAACTTCTGGACAGCTGCCTCTTCTGCCGGTCCATCTCCTCGATCCTATGTAAAAACGTCCCCATCCCGTAGTCAAGATGGGGAATCGGCTAGACAAATCCACAAGCTTTGGCTGTTTTGCATGACAAATTTGGACTCGTAGCGTAGTGCTGCTTGAGCTAGCTCAGCAGCATCACAGATCTAGTATACCATGCTGATTGGAGCATGACAAATTCCAAAACACGACTAGACAACGCTTCTCATGGGGCTCGGCATGAGAAACATTTTCATCATGCAGATTTGCATTACAACTCTGGGTTGGGGACGATTTTAAATACGATATCCTCGATTCCAGCCGCATCCGCCCCGCCGGAACTCGAAGCCGCGGAGTGTGACGTTCCACTGGTTCCTGGCGGTTTCTTATGCAGAGCAAAAGTATCGCAGTTGTAGTAATTGCAATCATGTATTACAGATGCAAATCTCTTCCCTCCCTCAGGGAAATCTGCATTACAAATTTCATTTCTCATGCTGAGAAAATCTGTCATGCGATGTATACTATAGTACGATGCTTTTGCATTTCATATTTCTTGGAACTCTGACTGGTTCCCGAGCTTCCTTTGTTTCCTCCGCGACCACCTCCCGATGCGGTGCCCGGAACCGGATTGTCACTGGCATAGGTGCCGCTGTAGTCCTGGTACAGCTGCCTCAAGTTTTGCAAACCGATCTTGGCTTCATCATTCCCCGCGAAGGTTTTCTCGTGCATCATGCCGTAGAGCTCCCGTTATCAACTGCAAATATGTCTGGGTCTGGAAACTTGTGATGCTGGGTAGCGTTTCATGATGAGGCTACAGGTGCTGGCTTAGATCAGATCAGATCAGATAGTTTTTTGTAAATACTCATAAAGAGTAAGTTTACAAATGCTCGCTCGAAAGCGGCGGTAGGGACGTTGTGTTTCTGAGCTTCTAGGTGTTGCCTATTCTGCGTGACAAACTGCGTTTCTGCATCACAGAAAAATGGAGCTTTTGGGGAACGTGCATGACAGATTTAAGAGTCATGTCAGACAAGCATGACAAACATGCATTCTTCCAGACCCACACATTTTTGCACTTGATACCCGTTGAAATTTGTTGATGTACTTCTCTAAATCCCTCTTTTCCTCCTCCGTGTGCTTTATTGTGTCCTGCTGGTGCTTATGAACTGCAAAAATCTCTGGATGTCTGGAAACTTGTGATGCAAGAAAGGAAATAGTGAGCACACTGTCATGCGCCCCCTAGCATGACAAGTTTTTCCGTAGTTCAGAGATGCGTGCCGCGCCTGAGAAACTGCGTTTTTGCATGACAGACAAGAGGAGCTCTTTGCGGCCACGCAATACAGAGTTCAGAGTTATTCCAGACTAGCATGACAAGTCTCGCAATCTCCCAGACCCAGACATTTTTGCAGTACATAGTGCTTGATCGTGAGTTTCAAATTTTCCAGCGACTTCTGCTGGTTCTGCTCTAATTTTAGCTTCTGCACAAATTCTTTCCCCGCATCCTGTAGATGGCCTGTTAACTCTATCGTACGAAAAAACTGTTTCACTGGAAGGATGTTTTTGCAGGTTCTGCATCACAAGTTCGTTCTACATTGCACAGAGAAGATTTGCCATGCGAGATTCCTAAGGGAAATAAACATAGCTAAAAATCCACGTTCTTGCATATGAAGCAAGACAAATATTTCTGTGTTCCATTTTATGCATCACAAGTTTAATACAGTGACACAGTTTTTTCTTGCGATAAACTCCGTGATCTTCTGCTCCTTTGGGAAAATCCGCTCATTCAGAAACTTGAGCTCGGCCTGGTGGTTGGCGGGATTGGGATTGGTTTCGAGCGGTATAATTCCTCGCCTTGCGCTTTACAGTGCACAAGCATCAGCGATGATGTGTCATGCGGAACAAGCATGACAGATACATTGCACTCATGGAAAATATTAAATCGAGTAAAGTATACAAACTTTAAAATCACCACTCTACTATAAATACCTCAAACGCATTCTTGTGCTTCTCTGTTTTCTCTACGGTTTGCTTCAAATCCTGAATTTCTTTGTCCTTCTTTTTCGACACTTTTTCCGCCTCCGTCACCTGCGTCTTCAGTGTGGTTATCTGTTCTTGCAGCGCTCCCATCTCCTTGGTCATGCGCTGGGCGTTCTCTTCGTGCTCTTTCTGGAGGAGCGCGAACCTTGATGTTGTAGATTTTGCGCAGAAAAAAACATTGTTAGTGTAGGATTTTCGAAAATGCATGGATTTTTTTCTTGGTTCAATCAAAATTATTTCTAAAGCGAACCCCACCGGCCATCGTGCAGCTTCGGGGAGCTTGCGTTATAAATCTGAGCGGGCCAAACTTGCTTTCGTTGCTTTTGTGGAAGTGAAATAGTTAAGGAGGCTAGACTGCTCGCCAATGCCGCGAGGGGGAGGAGACGATCAGCGAGGCTGTGCCGCGAAGTCTGCTGACCCGCAGTCGCGGATTGCTGGTCCTGTCTAATGCCCGAGGCCGGGCTTGCCTCCGACCGGGTCGGCCGCCAGTTACACGGCGCGCGACCACGCAAAGGCCTTCCGCAAAAAAAATCGCATCATGCAAAAGTCCTGTAATGCAGAAAGTCCTGTAATGCAGAAAAGGCTGTAACGCGCAAAATCCTGTCATGCATCAAATCACTTTTCCCTTTCCGCAGCAAATCGCAATGGCTCAAGATCATTCAAAAAAAAAATGCTTCATGCGCAAATCCGAGCATGTCATGCAAATTTAAATGATCTGTCATGAGATCATGAAATGCAAATTTTGAATGATCTGTCATGCAAATTTAAATGATCTGTCATGCAAATTTAAATGATCTGTCATGCAATGTCGTGAAATGATCTGTCATGAGATCATAATGCATCGGGAAATCGCATCGGAACAAAAATTGCATGATCGGCATGCTTATCAAATGCAAAAATGTCTGGATCTGGAAGATTGCAAGGTTTGTCATGCATATTTCGCATGATGTAATCGAGGCCTACATCACAGCGCGAACCTTGATGTTGTAGATGCGCAAAATTTTATTACTATTGAAACTGCAGCAACTAGCCAAAAATGGCATTCCTACCCTGGTTCCAGGGTAGGAAAAAATGCCCCAGATTTGTCATGCAGATAGAAATGTGCGCTTCCACTTGCATGACAGAAAAAAACTGCATGACAAACATAGAATTTGTCATGCAGATTTGCATGCAGTTGCATGAGAGATGTATTTTTTGTCATGCAGATGCAGTTTTTTTGCATGAGAAACTTCAGGAGCGCGAACCTTGATGTTGTAGATGCGCAAAATTTTATTTGTCATGCAGAACAAATGTCAGCGCTAAAAGTAAAACCAACCCGTAATTCTAATTTTGTCATGCAGAACACCTACAAATAGTGAATAGTGCTGTAGTCTTGCAGAACCACCAAGAACTATACCTTTGCCTCTCCTTTTCCATAGCGTTTAACCCCCGTAGCAGCGTCTCTTGCTCTTTTTTCAGTGCGTTGACTTTGAACTGGGACTTATCCTGTGTAACAACGTCCCCCCGATGAACCCAGAGTCAAGATCACGATTGTCGTGCAACACAAACCTGAAGGTTTTGGGAGTCCTCACGCATGACATCTTCAAGTTCCTCTCTGTATTGTAGTGCAGTTCGGCTTCGGCGGGAAGGACAGCCGCATTACAAATTATCGATCTGCTTCTTTTATCCTTTTTGCACCATTACAAATTCCAGAACACGATTTTGGAATAAATGTCTAGCATGGGGACGATGCGCATCACAAATGTTCCTGGTCTTGCAAATCTGCATGACAAGAAAAACTCCGGGGAGGTGCTGGGGACGTTTTTACACAGGATAGGACTCCTGCAAATTTTTCGTTGCTTGGTCCATCAAACCCGAGATCTCGTGGTCCCTGTCCTGTTCTTCATCCTTTAAAATTGTGTTGTACCGCTGCTCTTATCCCACGAAAAAAGTGTTACAGCTCCACATTTGTAGTGAATTCAGCAACACAAATTTCTCTGCATGAGAGAGAAAATTTGTAATGCAGAAATCCTGCGGGAAAACACCTATGGAACGAGGCTCCTATGCATATCCGGCATGACAGAGCTTGTCTGTCTTGCTCGGCCTGCAACACAATGTGTAACTGTAACACTTTTTTCTTGCGATAGCTCTACGTACTTTATCAGCGCTTTGTACTTTGCAATTTCTTCTCCCTGGTATGCAAGTGCACAACTCTACTCCCTTCTCCTCATTTGAACGGTAACGGGGGCTTATTATACAGCAATAGAAACACCAACGAATACGAACGACATGGAGCCTGTGCATGACAAGTCTCTACAACCGCGCCTCCTGGTGTAGAAGTTCCCCTGTTTGGGCTTTTGGAATTGGAATTTGTCATGCAAACAGTGCCAAAAGACAGCAGGAGGAACAATTGGCGTTTTGTCAATGACAAATGAGGAGAAGGGGGGGTTGTGGACCACCCTGATACCTTGTCCGCATTTTCGATTCTCAAGTCCTTTTCGGTTTTCTCCGCTTCGTTTTTCAAATCTTGCTTATCGAGAGCAAATATGTCTGGGTCTGGAGGAGTGTAACTGTAAACTTGTCATGCAGGTTTTCCATGATCCATGAGGTCTGGAATGCGAGACCTAGCATGACAGACTCTATGAGGTGGTCTCTGTCATGCCTATCCTGCATGAGAAACTCCTTCCCAACTTGGTCGAAAGTGGACAGCTTTTGGTAGTACTCACGCAACGCAGATTTTTGCATGCTTCGGATTTAGCATGACAAGTTGCAATCTTCCAGTCTCAGACATATTTGCAATCCATATTGCTTCGTTTTATCCAACTTTTCGGCCGCTTCCTCTCTCGCGATGTACATCTCCTTGGTCCGGTATGAGAGTGCACAAGAACTCCCCCTCCCCCACGTTTGTGTTGCATGAACAGCAACACAGGCGCTGCTAAAGATGCACCTTTTGCATGACAAATTTTATTGACAGGAGTGTAGTGCTGTTTTGACTTTCGGAGTGAGTCTGTCATGCAAAAGGTGCTAACAGGCAAACCGTAGATTTGGGATTTTGCATGACAAATGAGGGGGAGGGGGAGCTATGTGCACTTTCATATCAGTTGCGAATACCGGTCGTTTTCCATTTGGAGTTTCGCAGAGTACATACCCTCCAGCTGCTCTTGTGCCGCGATGTGCTGGGCCTCTAACGCTTTCACCATCCGAACGGGTTCCTGTAGAAGTTTTATGTCGTGTTGCGAATGCGATTTCCATTTCACGCAACACGCATTGCCATTGTCATGCGCAGCATCAAACTTCAACTTCATCTTTAACATTCCCCAGAAACAGCACCATTGTCACACTATTCTATACCTGTTCCCTTTCCTGAATAATATCCTCCAATAGCACTATCCTTTCCTTCAATGCTTCCACTTCTGACTTCTCACTCGTATGGATTGTAAATATCTTTGGACGTTTGGAAGATTCTGAGACTTGTCATGCACGCTTTGCATGAGCCATGATGTTTGTGATGCATGCCCTAGCATCAAAGTTTTTTTGAGGGCTTCTTGATGCCTATTCCGCATGACACATTATGTCCTCTTCATCGCGTAGCAAAAATTACATCCCCTTTGCTGCTTATGCAATAGAGATTGTTTCGGAGTCCAAATGTAGCATCACAAGTTCCGCTGTCCCAGACCCAGACATATTTGCATTCCATAACTCGTTATCTTCGTCGACTCTAATCTCGCCTCGTACGCGTACCTCTGTATGACCTGCTCAAGCGGTACAATCTCAAACGTTACATAAAGAATCTGGAAATCTGTGATGCAAAAGGTGCATGACCTAGCCTACTCCCACAGCATTGCGCATGACAAGTTCTGGAGTCCTCCCAAACCGCTCTAGAACAATCTGGCAGAATTTGCATTGCAGAAAGTGGAACGCTGCGCGGGTCTGTCATGCTCATCATGCACTACAAAATCCAGATTCTACTGTAACGTTTGAGACTGTACCGTTCGAGCGGGTCATACTCTGCTGGTCTAGCTTCTGCATGCTATCCAACTCGATTTGCTTAATCTCGTGGTTCAACTTCTCGACCTGATCTTCCAGTTTTACCAAGTCTTGTTTTTCAATCAAGCAAATCTCGTCGCCCTTCGGCTATCCTTTGCGAAAGCGTCTCCACCCCATAGTCAAGCTGCTGGTAAGTCCGCAACACAAATCTCCAAGCTTTGGGAGTTGTGCATGACAAGTTTCCCTCTGCAGTGTAGTGCTGGTTAGCAAGAAGGGAGGCCACAAGAGAAAGCTATTTTCTCATCCTGTTTACAGCATGACAAATTCGACAACACGATTGGAAATGCCTCTGCTCATGGAGCTGCGCATTACAAGTGTTCCTGTCATTGCGCATTTGCATCACAACTCTGGGGTGGGGATGTTTTTACTTGGGATATCGGCAATTTCTTCGCCATGTTGCTGTCCTTCGATGGACTGGAAGTTTTCTGCATTGCAAAAGTACTATCGTCGTAATTGTAATCACGCATTACAAATCGAAATCCTCATCCAAAGGTGGATTCGCATGACAAATTCCATGCGTCTTCATACAGAGGCAACTTGTAATGCAAAGACTGCTAGTGCGATATTTTTGCAATGCATAGGTTTTCTGGGACTGCAGTTGCTTTTTCGACGTGGAAGAGGACGATGGTGTCTTCCCCGCTTGTATCCTAGGCAAAAACGTCTCCACCCTAGATTTGTGATGCATATTCGCATATCAGAAACGTTTCTCATGCGCAGCAACATACATGAGAGGCATTTTTTCATGCTCTTTTGCAGTTTGTCATGCTATTATCAGGATAAGGAAATCGATTTCTGATGCGGCTGCAGTACCTACCCGGCACTACGCTACAGATCGAAGCTTGTCATGCGTAGGTCCCACAACTAACAGCTGGCTGTGTGTTGCAAAATCCTCATCTTGACTCTGGGGTAAAAGCGTTCTTACACAGGATATCTTTCGCCGGTGAAGCCGCTGCGGCTTGCTGTTGCTGGGAAAAGGAGCTCCGGGTGGATTTGGTTTTGTCTACCTCGAACTGGTCCTGGACGGATAACAGGAAGATGCTGCCATCCAAGTATCCCGAGGAAAAGCGTCCCCAACCCATAGTCACGATGGGAAATCTGCTAGACAAATCTACAAGCTGAGGGCGTTGCGCATGACAAGTTCGGCCTCGTACTGTAATCCTGTTTACCTCGTTCAGAAGCATCACAAATCTAACCCACCATGCAGATTCGAGCATTACAAATTCCAAATAAACCCGACTAGAAAATACCTGTCATGGGGCCCCGCATGAGAAACATTTAATTTTGAGCATGCGCTTTTGCGTGACACCACTGGGGTAGGTACGTCTTTACGCAGGATACTAAGGACGTGGTAACCATCCGATTCTCGCCGGGGAGTAAGGCGCAGAGAGTCGGACCCTTGCGTTATTTGTACATAGCGTTTCCAACAAAATCAAAAAGATGAAAAACTACCGCTTGGGTCGTTCTTTGGAATAGATGTGATTACGGGAGGACATGACGATCGTTTGCGAGGGGATGTTCGAGCGTTATTTTTTCTAGTACTCGAAATGCATAAAGAAACCGAAAACAGTCTGGTGGTCCTGCATTGAAGAATGAGTCACTCCAAAAAATATTTTCTTCGCAAATTTGCCAAACAAGAAGCATGTCATGATTACAGTGACAGCACAAGTATATAGCAAATATCCAAATCCTGCTCCAACTGTTGTATTGTTTCGTAGAACCATAAAGTATAGTACGTCCTTACCGACGCCCTGTTGTTTTTCCTCCTGACACAGTGCACGAAAAATTCCTCGTAACTCGCGCTTTTGCTGAGTGGAAACGGGTAACTCCAAAGCGTGCCGCTTGTTGTCGTCGCAAACAACGTGGTTCCCCCGTATGTCGTATCCTGTGCAAAAGCATCGCACTCGCATTGCAATCATGCATTACAAATCTTTTTCTTGAGGCAAGTCAGCACTACAAATGTTCTTTCTCATGCTGAGGAAATATATTTGTCATGCATTTCTACGAGTACGATACTTTTGCAATTCATATTTCGCCGCCGCGTTGGGTAAGGAGTCCAAATATCAAATGCAAATATGTCTGGGTCTGGAAGAATGCAACTTGTGATGCTGCGTTTGGATGTCTAGAAAATTTGTGTTGCATGACCAGCAAAAGGAATCTAATTTTTGCTACGCGGAGAGGGCATTTGTCCTCATGCGGAACAGGCATCAAGAATCCCTTCAAAAAATTGTGATGCCAGGGCATGCATTACAGACATCATCGCTCACGCAAACCATGCATGACAAGTCTCAGAATCTTCCAGACCCAGACACTTTTGCATTTGATACCAAATCCCGACTTGCCATCAACCAGGCCGAGTCTCGCTGTTCGTCACGGGACAGAGCGAGTAATTTCCTATCAAACGTGACAGAGCAAATCGACTCTTTCGCGGCGTCGGGTAATTCCAACTTGCAGGCTAGCTCCACGTTCGCGAGTAGTTCGGGATTCGTGGCGGACTCGGAATTCGCTATTGGCGTCAAATACAGGTCGTACAACCTACCACAGTATCGACATTGCAAAAGTGCATCAGGCATGACTAGTCTCCCTCTCGAGCTGAACGTGAACTCGCATTAGCATTACAAATTCCATGATTTTGATCTTGATTTGTCATGCTACGAAAAATTTCTCATGTAGTTGCGCTTGACATACTTACGGTGCTTGATGTTCTCTTGCAATGCGTACGTACGTTTTCCCCAGCGATTCCTTCGTATTCAGCGTTTTGAAAGATAGCGCCACGACCCACCGTATCAAATGCAAAAATGTCTGGGTCTGGGAAAATTCAGACTTGTCATGCATATTTCGCATGCCCCATGACGTCAGGAATGCAGGACCTAGCATGACAGGTCCTGCGAAGTCTCTATCATGCCAATCCTGCATGAGAAACTCCCGCTCATGTTGGTCAAAAAAGGACAACTTTTGGTGATCACGCAACACAGATTTTTGTGTGACCCACGGGACGCATCACAAGTTCCATCCTCCCAGACGTCCAGGGATTTTTGCATTTGATACATCGCCTCCGGTTCGTCGTCACGTCCCCGTCGAAGGCGATGGTCGCGTGGAAATTTTTATCCTGTGCAAAAGTATTAATTGCGTTTATGCATTACAAATCTTTTTGCTAAAAAGGCAAATCCGCAGTACAAATTCAATCTGTAAAAATGCTAGGTCAATTTGTAATGCAACAATTACACTAGTACGATACTTTTGCAGTTCATAATTTTCGTACAGGGAAAGTAACTGCGACCGTGCGCCCATGGATTTCTTGTCCTCTTCTATCCTGTGCAAAAGTATCGTGGTCGTAGTAATTGCATTTCTGCATTACAAATCTCTTTTTCAAGGTAAATCAGCATTACAAATCAAATTTGTAATGCTGGCCTAATTTGTCATGCAATTTATACTAGTACGATGCTTTTGCATTGCATATCTTCCGTTAGCAAACAATTTATCAACTGCAAATATCCCTGGATGCCTGGAAGATAATTGGGAGACTTGTCATGCAGGTTTTCCATGAGGACCCAGGAGGTCTGACGTGCAGGACATAGCATGACAGATTCTGATGTAAGATCTTTCTCATGCCTAGCCCGCATGAGGAACTTTTGCTCGCAAATTGATGGTCAACAAAAGTGGACATCAACTTTTGGTAATCACGCAACACAGATTTTTTCACAGTCCAGACTTCGCATGACAAGTTGCATCCTTCCAGACCCAGATGATATATTTGCAGTTGATACAATTCCCGTCGGTACAGTCTTTGTGCGGTTCGAGGTAATACTCGGCGATTTTGTGGTAGTTTGACATGTCCCACACGTAGAACGACCCGTCGATGCCGACCGTCGCCATGGTAAGCGCCTGAAAGTCGAAACTCACGTCCGCGATGGGGGAGGTGTGCTTCTTGATGGTAACCTGGAAAAGTTTTTATGATGATCTTCATTTGGCAGCTACTTCTATTGAGTTTTTTGCATGACAGCGCAACGTTATTATCTAGCTTCCCGCATCACAAGTTTTTACTTTTATTGTTCCACTTGTTCTCTATCAAAACCATATGCATATTTTTTTATACCAGTTTGTTCAGGTTCAGCGTCTCCAGCACGGTTAAGAACTTCCCATAAATCACCACCAAATAGTTCCCATTGGTCGGACTGTACACCACTTTTTTCAAATTTGCAAACCGGAGTTCTGCGTACTGCTGAATTTTGTTGGCGAGCAAGTATGGAGAGGAAAAAGTTTGTCACAGTCACGAACTTGCAGGTTTGGCATTACAAATTTTTTTTAGCATCGCAGCTTTTCCGTGTATTGCAGAAGCACTAGGGGAATCCCTTGAGAAGTTTTGGTGCTGTGATGCATTTTTACGCGTAGCAGGAAGCTTTGTATTGCAAAGATGCGCAAGAGTGATCGTGACGAACTTTTTTTGTTTGATAGCAAGTGGAACATGCGCAAGGTTCCGTCCGCGAAGGCTACCGCGCAGCTGTAGCCGTCCGGGTGGATCGCGCATTGGATCGGCGCTTTTTCGCTGGTGAAAAACGTGCTCATATTGAGAGGAAAAATCCCCCCTCCCCATATCGAAACGTTATAATCTTTCCGAAAATTTGTCTTGCTGATTTGAGACCACAAATCGCGTCTGTCTTGCAAGAAGACATTCATCCACAGGCTCTGCCGCATTATGCAGGCGGTTTGTGATGCTGTTGGGCCTACAGCATAGACGTTTCTCATCGACTAAGCGCCTAGGCGAAAAGCTTTCTACTCAGGCTTAGCAGGAGCCTGCTGGTGTCCTCTACTGCAAGACAAACCTGATTCGTATAGTACGCAAATCCAGCATCAGAAACTTGCTTTTGATATGGGGAGCGGGTATTTTTCCTTGTGATAGCTCAGTTCCAATTCCAGCGTCTCGTAGTTGTACAGCCTCAAAGAGTATCAAATGCAAATATGTCTGAATCTGGAAACTTGTAAATGCAAATCAGCGAACACTAAGCACTCTGTAATGCACCGCCAAGCATGACAGGTTTTTTCGTCGCGCTGTGTAGTTGCGTATTCCGCATGACAGGCACAGGGAGCTGCTTGTGGCCACGCAACACAGAGTCCAGAGTCATGCCAGACAAGCATGACAACTCTCGCAGTCTTCCAGGCCCAGACATATTTGCATTTGATAAAGAGCTGTCGTCCTTCGAACCGGCGCACGTTAAGAACAGTATGACAGTGCACAACTCGTCCCCCTCCCCCTCATTTGTTTAGCATGAACGGCAATACAGGCATCAGCAAGAATGCCGGTTCAGCATGACAAATTCAAGTACACTGGAGTGTAGTACTATTTTGGGCTTCCAGAGCTTGTCATGCATGAGAGTGACAGGAGGGACACCAGTCTAGAGTTGGCGTTTTGCATGGGAAATGAGAACGAGGGAGTAGAGTTATGCACTCTGATAAACAGCGGTCGCAGTTCCGAATTCGCAGAGGACACAGACAACACCGGTCCAAAGTGCGCGGCGAGGGATATGGCGAAGTTCTCAGACGGGTTACATTCCCAACACTTACATGAATTTGTCATGCAGAATCACAATCACGCTTCTCACGATAAAGCTTCTTCGCATGACAAGTTTTCGACAAGCTAAACAGCATTACAACAGTCTGTGCCAAATCTGTAATGCAAGACGTGCAAGGGCAAGGCCCCCCCTTTTACTTTTGCGTGTAGTTTTTGCATCACAAATTCATCATGTAACAGTTGAGAATGTAACGTTTGAGAACGCCATAAGGGATCGGTTGGCCGGGAAGGTGAGTTTCTCCTTCGCCAGATACAATTCCGCTAGATTCACGTAGCAAAAATCCCCATCCGCAAAGGCTTATGCATTGCAAAAGCATTGTAATCGCAGTAATTGCAAGCAGGCATGACAAATGTTGAACTTGAGCTGAATTTGCATATACAAATTGATGCTTTCATGCTAAGCAAATTGAAATTTGAAACTGCAAATTTTTATACCATTTACTACTCGTACGACCACACTTTTGCGATGTATAAGGCCAACACCACTCCGGCCTGGCTGTTTGTGCCGGAGGTGTTTGAAGACGACTGCTATGAGAGTGCACAAGAACTCCCCCTCCCCCTCATTTGGATGGCAACATCCGTAGCAACACAAACGCTAGCAAAGATGCAGCTTTTGCATCACAAATTTGCGACCGATTGTTCTAGTGGTGACTCGGCTCCTTTCGGAACCTGTCATGCATAGTAGTGCCAAGAGGCAAAAGGTGGATTCGGTGTTTTGCACGACAAATGCGTTGGAGGAAGAGCTCCTGTGCACGACTCTCATAACTGCTGTTGGCTTTGCACAATGCCGGCGTTGGCAGTGTCGATGCCGTGCTGCTGCAAAATCTCCTTTCCGAAAAACAGTTCGTCGTCAACGGCAATGTCGATGGAAACCACGTTCGACTTCCTATGCATTGCAAATATGTCTGGGTCTGGAAAGTTCAAGTTGCAACTGGTGATGCTGGATTTGGATTCCACAAGAAATCTGTATTGCCTGAACAGCAAAAGAGGTTCAGTTTTTGCCATGACGACAGGGCATTTCTGATGCGGTGTGGGCATCAGGAAGCCCTCATAAAATCTGTGCTGCTAGGGCATGCATCACAGACATCAGAAGTCATGCAAAATGCGCATGACAAACCTTGCATCCTTCCAGACATCCAAGGATATTTGCAATGGATACTTCCTGCCGGTGTACAAGTTCCGGACGAACCGGTAGCTGTGCGAGTCCAGCCGCTCCCATATCAAAATGAAAAATCTCCCCTCCCCATGTTTCCGAAGATTTGTGTTGCTGATTTGAGGCCACAAATCACATGCGTTTTGCAAGACGACAAGGGCAGAAGCTTCGGCCCCATTATGGAACCGATTTGTCATGCTGTCGGGCTTAAAGGGGAGCCGGTTGCCATGCTGAACAACTAGACCCATACGCCCCTGCCTAGCCTGGGGATCTGGCCTCGATGCCTTCCTGCAATACAAAGCTGATTTGTGTACACAAATCCAGCATCAGAAATTTCGTTTTGATATGGGGAGGGGGGATTTTTCCTTGCAATATCCCAAATCCCCAAGTACCCATCGCTCCCCGCAATGATAAACCCCTTCTGGAAGGTGCAGATCGCCAATGGTTTCACCTCTTCGGAGATCGTATCGTCAAAACAATCCTGCAGAACCTCTACGATTTTCAGTGTCTGAGAATCCACCAGGTAAATCTCCTGCTTCTGGCTGTTGACCGCCAGAATTTCCTTCTGCTTCGCCCACAACTTCTGCAGCAGCTGCAGACGCGGTTTTTCCTTGGAATTTATCGAAAGGAAAAATCCTCCCTCCCCATATTGAACCGGAAACCTGCTCTGTTGCTGGATTTGTGTACACAAATCAGGTTTGTCTTGCTGGAGAGGACTGCAGACACATTTCAAGTCTGAGCCGAGAGGTATTGGCCTAGGCGCTTAGCGTGACAGACGTCTACGCTGTAGGAGCAAGAGCATGACAAACCGCCGGCAGAAAGCGGCGGAGCCTGTGGGGTTGCCTTCATGCAACACAGAGACCATTTGTGGTCACAAATCAGCAACACAAATTTGCGAAAACGTACGTTGTCAATATGGGGAGGGGGATTTTTCCTTTTGATAGAGTTATTCGGAGCAGCGGGCTCCGTGTCGGAGGTGGTGTTATTGTTGCCTCCAGAGGCGTATCAACTGTAAAAATGTCTGGGTCTGGAAATTTGTGATGCTGTGTGGCATATCATGAGGAGGCCACAATTGCTGGCTCGGCATGACAAGTTTCTGAGCTTCTAGGTGTTGCCTATTCTGCATGACAAACTACGTTTCTGCATGACAGAAAAGTGGGGCTCTTTGGTAATGTGCATGACAGACTTAAGAGTCATGCCAGACAAGCATGACAAACTTGCATTTTTCCAGACCCAGACATTTTTACATTTGATAAGGCGTTTTTCGCGGGCATCGGTATAGGGCTCTCAAACGTTATATTCTCGAACTGTTGCTGCATGGATTTGTGATGCAAGAATGGCAGAAGGGAACAAATACAAAGGTCGGATCTTGCAACTTTTACATTACAACTTCGGCACAGATTTTTGATGTCCCCATGCTGGTAATACCCTTTTTGAAATTTGTCATGCGAAGTAGATTGGCCGTGTGGATGTTGATGTTCATTTTGCAAGACAAATTCATGTAGCAGTTGAGAAGGTAAAACCGATTTGTGAACGCCATAATCGGCCCGGTCCATGTGTAGGTGGAGAAGATGGTGGTTTCCGGATTGATTTTGTCTCCCTCGAAGTCAGGAAACGGCCGGAGGTCGCGGGACGTGGTGTTGTACCTGTGATGGCGAGAGTAGCTAGTTTGTCATGCAGAAACCAGAAAAAGAGATTCATTTTGTCATGCAGAACCCTGGAAAAAAAACACATTTTGTTATGCAGAAACCAGAAAAAGAAATCCATTTACATTTTTTCATGCCGAACACCGGATAATAAAAAATTTCTCAAAAATAAGTAGTACTTGTAAAGCTTCAAGTAGCCCCCATTCCCGGACAGCAGCAACAAGTTCGAATCGTAGGGCGCGAACGCATCAAGTGCAAATATCGATGTGGGTGCTCTGGAAAGTTGCATGCAATTTGTCATGGTGGTCCTTGCATGCCAGACGCTTGTTCCTTTGTACAACCCGCAGAACAGCATGACATCACGTGCTCCTCGGCAACTTACAAGAAGTTCTAGTGTGTTTACTGCATGACAAACTGAGTTATTTTTTCACAGCATGTGCATGACAAAAAAACGGGCCATGATCGTATCTATGCATCACACATCCTTGCTGTCCTTCCAATTTCGCATCACAAATCCAGACCCAGATCGATATTTGCCGTTGATAGAACGTGACTTTCTGCAACTCCAACGGCAAGGTTTGCTCGCACAGCACCGTCAACGAGTAATTCACCGTGTTCAACTATCCCACGAAAAAAGTGTTACAACAGTTACACACCCGTAGTGAATTGAGCAACACAAATTTCTCTGCATGACAGAGAAAACTTGTAATGCAGAAATCCTACTGGAAAACACCTATGAAACGAGGCTCCACCTATGCATATCCGGCATGACAGAGCTTGTCTGTCTTGCTTGGCCTGCAACACTACAATGTGTAACTGTAACACTTTTCTCTTGTTGCGATATCAACTCACAAAGCTGCAGAATCGTCCCCGTTCGCGCACTGAAAAACGTCGTGGGGTCTTCATACTGTGGGGTCAAAAGCGCTTATAACAGTGCACAGCTCCCCCTCATTTGTACTCTAGCATGAACGGCAATACAAGCATCAGCAAGAATCAGAATGCCGGTTTTGCATGACAAAAAATTTGCACTGGATTGTAATTCTATTCGGGCAGCTACCAGAACTTGTCATGCACAATAGTGACAGGAGGGAAAGCGTGGTTTTGGTGTTTTGCATGAGAAATGAGAACGAGGAGGAGTTCTTTTGCACGGCCATAGCGCTACCCGGGTGTGGTTGGCGTCGATGGCACAGCTCGTGTAGCCGCTTCTTTTCACATTCAACCCGAGGTTGTCGGTTGTGGTTCCCTGGAAACTGTTGTTACTCGTCAAGTTGTAAATCGTCACTTGGCCGCCGTTGGAGTTCGCGCTGGTACTTGAGCTGCTGCTGGTGCTTGTCGTGGTTTCGCAGGAGACGATGAAAGTTTTATCTAACGAAACCGCAAAACTGGTGATCGCCTCCACGCTCGTGCTCGCCGTGTATTACAGTGAAAAATGCCCCCCACCGCTAAAAGTAAAATTGCAAAAAATTGTGATGCAAAGCTTCCAAATGAAAACTTTTTGTCATGCATGAAAGGAGTATGAATCTTTCTGATGCAGAGTGGAGGCGTGTATCGCATCGCTTGCATGACAAGCGCCGCTTTTGCTGGCGTATTTTGCAATACAAATTTTTGCTATTCACGATTGGAAACCTGTGATGCTGATAGATGCAAGAGGGCGAAGGTTTCATTTGGAAAGGTTTGCAACACAAATGCTTCCAAGTTCGGGGGTGGGGGCATTTTTCATTGTAATACCGTGGTCGCTTGCTTCAGGAAGTAGCTGTCCGTTATCAAATGTAAAAATGTCTGGGTCAGGGGGATTTCTAGATTTGTCATGCATATTTTCCATGACCCATGATGTCTGTCATGCATGCCTTAGCATCACAGATTTTTAGAGCGCTTTGTGATGCCTCTACAGCATGAGAAACGACCTCTCCGCGTCGCACAAACTGGAGTCCTCTTGCTGGTCATGCAATACAAATTTTTTCAGTATCCAGAGACAGCATCACAAGTTTAGAATGTTCCAGACCCAGACATTTTTACATTTGATATCCGTGTTGGTATAGACATTCCGGATACACAAGTACCTCCCCACGGGGAAAATGATGTGCGCCGAGTCCAGAAACTTCACGTGCTCCTGGGACAGCAGCGCCTGGGAGTGGGACTGGGAGCCCCAGGCGTGGATGATGGAAAAGTTGTTCGACGCCATTGTCGTTAGTAGAAGCGTACTCAGTGCAAATGTGTCTGGGTCTGGAAGATTTTTATTTTTTGGAATCCAAGACGAGTAGCATCACAAGTTCCATCTTTCAACACCCAGACACTTTTGCATTTGATAAAGCAAGTAGTGGTGACGAGATTTCTTCTACCCCGTGGTATTCAGCGTCGTCGAACAACAGATTCCTTCGCGGAGAGTGGTGAAGCTTTTCACTGTGTGAATGTAGTCGTTTTTGAGGCAGTAGTCGGCGACGAGCTGTCTTCACGCATCGTTTTGACTTGCTCTATAACATTCTTTCCCGCGCACTGACTCTACTCACGACAGCCGCACAGCTACCCATTTTTTCACGACTGCTGTTCCCGTATAGTTCTATAAAGAAGTTTTCATTTTGGTGAACAAGTCGAGATAGGAAAAATAACGAAATTCTGGTTGTAAACAAATTACGAAATTCTGGTTGTAACAAAGGTGCGTGAATAAAATGTATTTTTCCAGCAGTGCGATACAAGTTATTTTGAGTTCGTTCCTTTTTCCGGGGGGAAGCGAAAGTGGAGCAGAAACTCTGAAAAAAAGTCAGTACAATGAAGTTGTGTTTCTTTTATTAGCCATAGCCCGCTTGTTAATACACTTACTATCATTTCATAACATTTTGCTTGTTAAGTAGCTGCCTCCTCCGACCGCTATTATTTGTTTTGCATGCTGATCATGAGCGTTTTGTCAATGACGAATGAGGAGAAGGGGGGGTTGTGGACCACTCTGATACCTTGTCCGCATTTTCGGTTCTCAAGTCCTTCTCGGTGCTGCGCCTCTAACGCTTTCACCATGCGGACGGGTTCCTGGAGAAGTTTTATTTCGTGTATTTTTTTTGTTGCGAATGCGATTTCACGCAACATGCATTGTCATTGTCATGCGCAACATCAATCTTTAACTTCATCTTTAACGTTCCCCAGAAACAGCACCGTTGCCACCATATTCTATACCTGTTCCCTTTCCTGAATGATATCCTCCAATAGCACTATCCTTTCCTTCAATGCTTCCACTTCTGACTTCTCACTCGTTATCTTCGTCGACTCTAGTCTATCCAAAGAAAAAGATTGTAGCTGTGACTTTCATCTTGCTGGAACAGCATGACAAATCCGTCTGGCATGGGACGAGCAACGACCTGTTATGCGCAGATAGTACGCGAAAAGGAAAACGCCACTGGCATTGAATGGGCGCTACTATGCATGCCCAGCATGACAGACGCACTCATCTTGCAGGTTGCGCATCACAAAGTTACAGGCTAACAATGTTTTTTTCTTCGATATAGTCTCGCCTCGTACGCGTACCTCTGCTGGTCTAGTTTCTCTCAAATGCAAAAGTGTCTGGGTCTAGAAACTTGTAATGCTCGGTTGGGCATAGTGAATGCTCTGTAATGCAGAGCCAAGCATGAGAAATATCTGCGCTGCTTAGTGTTGCGCTGTTCGCATGACAAAATGCGTGTTTGCAACGTGATAGGCAAAAGGCTCTCTTCTTGGTCACGCATCACAAACTCTTCAGTCATGCCAGACAAGCATGACAAACCTTGTATTCTTCCAGACCCAGACATATTTGCAATCCATAGTTTCTGCATGCTGTCCAACTCGATTTGCTTAATCTCGTGGTTCAACTTCTCGACCTTATCTTCCAGTTTTACCAAGTCCTGTTTCTCAATCAAGCAAATCTCGTCCCCCTTCGGCTATCCTTTGCGAAAGCGTCCCCATCCCATAGTCAAGCTGCTGGTAAATCCGCAACACAAATCTCCAAGCTTTGGGGTGGGGACGTTTTGACTATGGGGTGGGGACGTTTTTACATATGATAGCGTCTCCAGGACGGTTAAGAACTTCCCATAAATCACCACTATCAAATGCAAGTGTGTCTGGGTCTGGAACAAGGTTGGAACCTGTCATGCAGCCTTCACCTGACCCGTGACGTCTGTGATGTATTCCCTAGCATCACAGAAGATTTTCTGAGTGCTTCTTGATGCCTATAATTCTGCATGACAAATAACCTCCCCGCGTAGGACAAACTGCACTCCTCTTGCTGGTCATGCAATACACATTTTTTTAGAATCCAAAGTTAGCATCACAAGTTCCAACTTTCCAGACACAGACATGTTTGCACTTGATAACCACCAAATAGCTCCCATTGGTCGGACTGTACACCACTTTTTTCAAATTTGCAAACCGGAGTTCTGTATGAACTGCCAAGGTATCGTACTCGTATAAATGCATTACAAATCTTAATCTCCACAGCATGTAAAACAAATTTCTCTGCATGACAGAGAAAACTTGTAATGTAGCAGATTCTGACTATCCGCATACTTCGTCGCGTATCCAGCCTCTTTCGATGCCGCGTTGCAGTTGTACATGTCTAACTCTCCGTAGTTCAAGTAGATGTGATATCCTGTGCAAAAGTACCGCACTCGTATTCCAGTCATGCATTACAAATCTTTTTCTTAAAAGCTGTTCTATAAAGAAATTTTCATTTTGTTGAACAAGTCGAGATAGGAAAAATAACAGCATCCGTAAACAGTCAAGCCGCTTTTGCTCTCAAGCTACTTTTGCTCTCAAACCACTTTTATCCTCCCTCATGCTGAACTACTAGCACCACAGAAGCCCTTCGTCCCTCACCACATACTGCGTTTTTTGTTCACTCAGAAACGTCGCCGTGCGACAGCCCGTAACATCTTCACAATATCAAGTGTAAGTTAACACGTCGTATTCCAGGTTTGCCCGTTGCGTGTGCAGTGGTAACTCCTTACATTTGTACTCATCTCTCGCAGCGCCAGCCCCTAGCTCTAAACACGGCGAAGATAGAAGAAGAAAAGGGCGAACAAAGTGAAGCCTTAGCCTACAACTTCGGCCACAATTTTTCCGAAGCAATAGAATTGCTGAAGTTCATTCAAAGAACCCGCTTTACCGGGGCAGCAAGAGCCTGCTTGCTGATGAGTTTGCTGGTATTCCTCGAAGATAAAGATGAGTTCGCTGACGTTTGCACGCAGGGTTTTCTAGCACCATCATCATTGCAGCCAGAAGCAGCACGCTTGCAACTACTTTCGACCCGTCGCGGGCTGGGACCGCGAGTGCAAGGGAGTCGGTGTCAACCGCCCGGGGGTCCTCTGTAAGTGCTTATGCAAGGAAAAAGCACGACAGCGCTCAGTAAGTGCTGTGGTGGAGTACTTCTTGTGCTTCATCTGGTGTCCAATTCATATCACAAATTGCACAAAACACACCCTCCACCAACTGCACTTACAGGCGGCTGATCGGCTTGACAGCTGGATATCAAACTTCTCCCAGGCCTGCGGCAGGCTCTACTTCGCCACGGCGTTGGTCTGCACGGTGTGGCGGAGCATGCACGGCGGTCGAAGGTTTTGCAGCTGGCGACGACGAACGAAAGCGCCTCGCGCTGCCGCTTCGCCGCGGTCCGGCGGCACTGCGTCACGCCGTAGAATATGAGTGGGCAGCTCGCTTTGGTGTCCTCGCGCGGGAGAAGACACTACGGGCGCCGGGGGGACGGAGGATCGAACGACGCAGGGTCCACCCATGTCTGACGCCGGTCAAGAAATCGCTGGCGCGGGGCCCAAGCCCGGGGCCAGAAAATTGCGGAAGAGCCCGCGGCGGGCGGGCCAAGCTAGCGATGGGCCCCATCGGCCTGGCGCGGCCGCCGGCCCTATCCGGCCCCGGCGCTGCGCCTCGCCCGCCGGGAATTGGGCCGGGCGGTGGCGCGGGGGGCGTGAGGCGCGCGCGGGCCGCAAGCTAGCTGGCAGCCAAGCGTGGCCGGCGGGCCGAGGCCAGCGAGCACCATCGGCCCGCCCCCCCGCGGTCCAATCAGGCCGCGGGCAGGGAGCGGGCGCAAAAGGCCGGCGGCCGCGCCGCGCGGGCACTGCCAAGGCCGCCCGGTCGGCGGCTTCTTCTCCGTCTTCATTGCCGAGGACGCCGCCACGCCACGCGCGCGCGCCAAACCCTTCCGGACCTGCAAAGCCCCGGCGCCGCGTCTCCTGGCCCTTTGGCCTGTGGCTTGCACCTGGCTAAACGTAGGCGCTGCGCCGTAAACTTGCAACCCAAACCCCTACGCCTTCAATCTGCTCCCCTAAACTCCCAATCCGCTCCCCTAAACTCTCAACCCTGGCCACTAAACTCGCAACCCTAGGCCCGAGAGTCTCAACCTGGGCCCCGAAACCCAGAACGTCGCTTGCCGCGTCGTCGCTCCGCACCTCTGGAGACCCTTCCAGCCCTGGCGCACCGCGCGGCGTCCGTCGCGCGTCCGAATAGTGGCGCCGCCGGCTGAGGAGAGGCCGGCGCCGCGGAGGCGCGGGGCGCCGAGCGCGGTCAATCTCTGCCGTCTGCTATGTTTGTGAGAAAACGGAATTGAAACGCATAAAACGCACCGAGCCACTCGAGCTGGGAAAATGAAAATGAAAAGAGGATCTTGCATTCATTTTTCTCGCTTCGCAGCACTGCCACTGTCCTTTGCTCGCGTGATCTGTACTTTTTTAGTTGAGCAAAGACATGATCCTCGTTTCATCTGTTCTTTGGAACAAGTGCGGTTCTGTCCGAAAACATTGTGAGCGTCCGAACACGATGTTACAGGTTTATCAATGTATTCACTTCCTCCAGTTTTCATGCTGCAGCGCATCCAAGACGGTGCGGCCATGCATCTAGCTTTATTTTTCGACAAAGAAACTAGTACTAGAACTAGTAGACAATCTTGCACACATCACATCCACACTAAAGCAGTCGAATTTATTTTTCCGACTCAGGTGGTCCAGGTGCATACCAGCCTCACTTTCCAATCACCGCCAAACGACAGAGGCTGGAAAAAAGAAAAAATCGTGCTGGGTCTTCGTGCAAGCATCAAGACTTGTTCCTTTTGCTCCATCCAATGATAATGAAGTTGAAGCCACAAGTTTAATATTATAACACTCCAGACCACAGGCACAGTTTGATGAGTTCGAAACAATCGTACAAAAATGATTTATTTCTTTCTGCTGCCGAGCGACGTACGAGTAGTTGTAAGTACGTTGTTGTCTTCCTTTTCGCCAATTATTTCGGAATTCCTCCTTCTAAAATCAGACTACTAGTACTCCCCTACAGAAGATGAAGATGATCACCATCCGAATTAAAAGCAATCTGCCAAATTCCGCGTTCCCGGTCTCAAACTCCCAAACCGATTCGCCACGAGCAGCAATTTCCGATGCGCCTCAGAGTTCGAAACGCTTCCCAAATAGCTCGGGTAGACCGCGCGGTTGCTTACCAAGAGGTTTTTGTACTCGTACGTCTTAGCGGTGGGCAGGATTTTGTTGTCCTCTATGCATTGCAAATACCGATTCTGATCTGGGTCTGGATTTGCAATGCAAAATTTATTAAATGAAGAAAGCAAGACTAAGGTCTAGTACTTCTGTGGTGCATGAATATGAAAAATACGTAGTAGTTGGTGGACCCAGTTTTTTTGTCGTGCCGGAAGCTTGTTTGTCATGCACTGATTTCCAGAAGACCGAGATCGATAATTTGCATTTCTATTCGTATCCTCCATCAAAACCCTGTTCCTCGTCTCGTGCAGTTTGTTAAGCGGCGAGTTTCCGTGCTGTATCCTCTGATTTGCGAATAGCCACTCCTTCCTCTCGTTTTGTTGGTTTATTTTCTGGCGGAAAAGAAGAGCAGATGATGCGGGGGGAGCAGTAGTAGTTTCCTGCTCGTCGTTCTGCGTCCTTGTCCTAATACCGTTTCTTATCCCACCAGCGATGAAGTAGTAGCCTTGTGCTCGTCTACTTGTAATACTTCCACCTCCTCCTTTAGAAGTACCACTACCGCAGTTCATTGCGTTGTCGTAGATTTGGCCTATTTTGTGGTCGAATTCCGCCCTATCCACCTTAAATTCCGTCAAATTCCTCCCGGTTTCGTTGTGGAGCAATTGGTTCACTTTTTTCTCGTAATCTTCTGTCCGTTCAACCGAAAGTAGTAGATTCTTGAGGAACGACGGAACAACTTCTGCGCCGGAGTCTATCAAAGTGAAAAATCCCCCCTCCCCATATTGAAACGAAAACTTCTGTTGCTGGATTTGTGGACACAAATCAGCTTTGTCTTGCAGTATAGGACTGCAGGCAGATGCAAAGCCTAGACGGGCCTGGCTAGAGGTGGGCGCTCAGCATGGCAGACGTCTACCCTGTTGGTGCAGCAGCATTACAAATCGCCTGCGTAAAGCGGCGAAAGCTCTGGCTTTGCTCTTTTGCAGGACAGACCTCATTTGTGACTACAAATCAGCATCACAAATTTTCAAAAGGATGCCTTTTCGATATGGGGAGGGGGGATTTTTCCCTTTGATACCGTCGTCGTTGTACTTAACGGCAGAGGAACCTGCAGCAACTCCTGTGCCGTTCAGGCCCCCGGCTCGTAGTGAGTAGCTGTCGGGAAGGGAGTGGTATGACGGAGCGGTAGCTGTACTAGTAGCGGACCTCCTGGAAATAACATTATTACTGTTCTTCCCCGCACGACTTCCTGCTCCTTTCTCTACGTAGCTCGATACACTGGTGGAAACGAGAGGCGGCGTCAGCTTCGTTTTCAACAAACTCTCCTCGTATGTCGCGGACTCCAGCCCAATTTTTCTTGCGGTGGGTCTGTCGAATTCCGCTGTGGAACGGTAGGATTTCTTTCCATGGTAGACTTGCAGGCCCGCAGCGGCCCGCGCGAAATGCATCGGGGACACATCCTGAGTAGATTTTTGGATTTGTTTTTGAGATATTTTTTGTCAAGGAAAAGGAAATCAAAAAGTTGGGGATTCTGATTATTTTTGCGCGGAAAACAAAGAGAATGCTGATCGCAAAAATTATCGGTGGGATCCTGGTGCCCGCCATGAGGAACGGCTTGGCATCTCAATTTTGAGTGCGACAGAACTTCCAAGAGGGTGGAGCAAATAAAGTTATACTACGAACTAATCTGGAACTACTGGACCTACTTCATCTTCTTGAATGCTGGTCCATTGCCGTAGTTATCGAGACTTCCAAGTGGCACGGGGATGAATTCGATAATTGGTCTAAAAATCAGAATGTTCTAGTGGCGTTTATTGGCAATGGCAACGCACGGCTAGTTGTACACAACTACGCGTTCCAACAATGAATCTGTTATGCAGAGTTCGCAAGTATTATGCTTATCTGGATAGAGTTATAATTTGTAATTCTCTAAGAGCAAAACCAAAAGCAAACATGAAATTGAAATCCTCTAGTATAGGTTTTTTACCCGCATCACGCGGTTCCCGACATCTCCTGCCGAACGCGCTCGCGGTGCCGAAAACGACGCGACGGAGGGTGAGTAGCAGTCAATGTGCGGCGAGGCTAGATCTAAGTCGGTATCAAATGCAAACATGTCTGGGTCTGGAAGGCTGCAACTTGTGATGCTAAATCTGAAGCATGCAAAAAGTCTGTGTTGCATGATTACCAAAAGCTGTCCACTTTCGACCAAGTTGGGAGGGAGAGTTTCTCATGCGTGATACACATGACGGAGGCCTCTTCACAGAGTTTGTCATGCTAGGTCCCACATTTTTCCGCACCTCATGGGTCATGGAAAACATGCATGACAAGTTTCTACTCTTCCAGACCCAGACATATTTGCACTGAATAGTCGGTGAAACCAGACAAAAACTTTCGCCTGCCGCCCACAAAAAACCGATCCAGCTGGTAGTCTTTAGAAACCGGCGGGTTGAGGCTTTCACCTATCCTGTGCAAAAACATCGTACTCGTATTGCAATCATGCATTACAAATCTTTTTCTTGAGGCAAATCAGCATTACAAATTTTCTTTCTCATGCTGAGAAAATTTGTCATGTGAATCGGTTCGAGAGTGTACCCCAGTTCACGAACTAGCTCGTGAAGGTTCCGGGCATACGAAAAAGGACAGAACCATACGTAGTGCACCTGCCAAACCCCGAAAAAAAGAGCGGGCAACGGGAGAAAATAATCCCGATGAGCTGCAGAGCATATCTTGCGGGCACCATATGTCGCAAAAAGTATGCGCACGCAACAAGCCCCGAAGGGTCTTGTATTTTGGCGCGCGCGCGCGCGCGATTTTGGTTTGTGAGGCGCGAAGCGCTGCGCGACTATTGTTTACGGTGGGACGGCTGACGGTCGTAGGATTTAGGGGCGCTGCTTCCGATCAATGGGCGCACGAAGACCGAAGCTGTGCGCGCGGCGCTGGTTTCAAACAGAAAGCGGGCGAACGCAAGGGCCGATCGCAGTCATGGCTACTGTTTTCTGTAATGACAGACTTGAGGCCTTTGGCGCCCATCACGGTGCGCGCAGCTGTGCTGCAGCACCATCTAAAACGACGACGCTGCGGCATTGCAGGTACAGAGCCGAACCGGGGGCCAGGTAATACCTGGCCCCCCGGATCGACTAAGTACCACTGAGATCAGGAGCGTACCTTTGGGTCAGGAACGCCCCCCCTACTCCTTCCTCCACCTGCATATTTTTTTGGCGCCGAGCATATCAAATGGCCTGTTTGTTCTAGGATATTTAGGCCCCGGGGCGGTATTGAACTGGTAGGTACATTGTTGAACCGCGGGCCCTGTTGAACTGATACACATGCATTTATACGAGTACTATCAAATGTAAAAATGTCTGGGTCTGGAAGAGTGCTAGACTTGTCATGCAGATTTTACATGACATATGACGTCTGTAATGCATCGCCTGGCATCACAGATTTTTAGCAAGCTTTCTGATGCCTATCCCGCATGAGAAATACCCTCTCCATGTAGCACAAACTGGACCCTTCTTGCTGGTCGTGCAATACAGATTTTTTTAGAATGCAGAGACAGCATGACAAGTTGCATTCTTCCAGACCCAGACATTTTTACATTTGATAAGTACGATACTTTTGCAATGCATAACAAAAAACCGATCCAGCTGGTAGTCTTTAGAAACCGGCGGGTTGATATGAGAGTGCGCAACTCCCCCTCCCCCTCATTTAATTGGCACGCACAGCAACACAAGTGCTGACACAGATGCACGCTTTGCATTACAAATTCGCGATCGGTTCTAGTGCTGTTTCGGCTTCGGGAATCTGTCATGCAAGGAGCGCCACAGGGCAAAGGTTGGACTTGGCATTTTGCATGACAAATGAGGGGGAGGGGGAGTTGTGCACTCCCATAGTTGAGGCTTTCACCTTTCCGCGCCTTGGACTGGTAATGCGGATGAAGGTCGAGGTCAAGGCCGTCGAGGACTCCTGCTATGTTTCTTTCTTTATCTGGAACTGCTATATCGGAATACGCGAATCTCTGATTGCCGTCCACTTTTCGCACGTCGAGGCCGTGGCGTTTGGATGATGAGAAAGATGATCCTACTATCCTGTCAAACGTCCGCCCGCCCGCCTCGAACAAGCTCGCCGGGGAAAACTGGTAGCCGGTACCCGGCCCGCTTCGGTAAGTTGCCGCCTTGTGGTAATTATGCATTGCAAATATGTCTGGGTCCGGAAGGATACAACCTGTGATGCTGTCTTTGGATTCTAAAAAAGTTTGTCTTGCATGATCAGGAAGACGGTTCCAGTTTTTGCTACGCGGAGATGGAATTTCTCATGCGGGATAGGCATCAAAAAGGCCACAGATTAAATCTGTGATGCTAGAGCATAGATCACAGGTGTCATGGATTTATACAAAATGTGCATGACAAACTCAGGCTCTTCCAGACCCAGACATATTTGCAGTTGATAGTAATATCCTCCACTGGTTGAAGGGGATTTGGGTAGAGTACCCGTCTTGGCCGGAGTCCACTTGTGAGTGCCGTGGGAAAGCGGCTTGAAACCCGGGCGAAAGACAGTGGAGGAGCTGATTTTGGATTTCGGGTTTACTTATCATGCGAGGGTTTACTAGGGTTGAGGGTTTAATATGCGAGGCCAATTTCAAAAATTTTCAGACAAAGAGAGAATCGTTCAACAGTGCCACGAAGGTCGCTTCTTTGCAATAGATATGTTCCTTACCCGTGGCTCGCGTGTCCTCGTTTCGCAACCTCTTCCCGGTGCTGCGCGATTTCCCCCATGATACTTTCTGCGTAGTGCTTCTCAATCGGCGACTTATATTCTGCCAACTCCTGCGTGCTGTTTACCCTTTTCAAAAACCGCAGGTCCGCGTCGTTCCTACTGCATTTCTCGAAAAAATCGTCGTACTGCTTCACCAGATATGCGGTTTTGAAATGTGCGGCGTACATTTTGCCACTCACCGGGAACTCGGTCGGCTTTTTTCGGATGAAGTGCATAATCTTCTGGTCTAAAAACACGTCCGGGTCGGAAGGGAGTTGTAACAGGTCTTGTTCGGTATCGGTGCGGAAATTTCTAGTACCTTTGGACAACATCATGTTGGAACTACTCCTCTTTCTCGTCGGAAGGAGCAAATGCGGGATTCTCCTTGCTGGGTCAAATTCGTAGTTCCGGGAAAAGTTGTCGTATTTTGCGTTGCCCGAGGACGCGGCGCGGCTCGTCCGGGTGGCGGGTGAAATTGATCCACCCGCTCGGTCGTCTAATATTAACGGGAAGACTCTGCCCCGTGCGAGGGTCAAGTTTCGACTTTGGGTACTACTAACAGGTGCTTTTTTCCTCGTGGAGCCTGTGTGACTGCTCTTCCTATCGTCAATTGCACGACCACGAGTTGTTGTACTACTACCTGGAAGCTATGGAAGTGTCAGGATTGAAATCGACAAAGTTGAAATAATCTGTCATGCATAAAATGCAAGGCACGAAGCGAGTGTCTTGCAGAGATTGCAAATGAGGCGGATTGTGAGCCTATTTCGGGTTTGGGATAGAGCTGCGAACGTAGCATGACAAAGGACGCCTTCTTTCGCTAACCAGCATGACAAACTGGATTTAGACGGTATCGAAATTTGTCATGCGCGGCCTAGAAATTGGGCTTCCAACTGGTATCCATTTCATGCATCACAAATCGTTTCAACTTTGTTGATTTCAAACCTGACGCTTCCATAGAAGCTGCTGCCCGGGTAGTTCTTCAGTTAATATTCCGGAGGTGAGCGCAACCTCTTCGACCAGCTGCGCCGTCTGCGCCATCCGTTCCGCGACCGTGAGAGCAGGTCGTGGCGGCCTCGTCGTCCCGAAAGGAGCTCCTGCTCCGAGCGCGGAAGAACTAGAGGACGTTGGTTCTGTAGTTTTTTGTCCTGGTGCTCTTGCGTCGGAGTGGTGGTTATGAACTGCAAATATGTAGTCTGGGTCTGGAAGATTCTTACATTTGTCCTGCATGTCTGACATGACTCGAGAATCTGTGATGCATAGAGGCATCGGAAAAGCCTCGCCTATCTGTCATGGAAAAACGAAGTTTCTCATGCGGAATACGCAACACATAGCAGCTCAAAAATTTGTCATGCTGGGCTGCGTATTGCAGTCCGGCTATCATCCACTTCTCGCATCACAAGTTTCCAAACCCAGACATTTTTGCAGTTGATAGTGGTCGTAGGGGCTCCGCTCGAGCACTTGCTGGATGAAGGGAGAGGTGTCCATGATGGAAGACTTCTTCCAACAAATTCAGTAGTTACAGGGCATCATGAACGACATGGGTGGATAGTTGAATCTTAGTAGGTTTGTTGTTCCATAAAACGCGTACAGGAGATAAAGGTTGAATACTCACGGGCGAGTGGAGTTTTTATTACGGGCGAGTGAAGATATTTCATCTTTCGTGCACAAGAAGAACCACGTAAGCTTGGCTCATTATGCAGGCACAGTACGTTTCTATTTTTCGTGTTCTCCACTAGTACCTACCGAGTTCGAGATGGTCGCAAAAATTGTTTTCGAAGCAGTCTTTACGACCGCTTTTAGGGGTAAAAATGGGGTGAAGACAAATGGTAGACGTAAATCGCACTTCTAAAAGCCTATAGGGGAAAAGAGGAGTGGGAGAAAGTTGTGATTGTGAAGTTCAACGAAAGCCTACTAGACTTTCGTGTTCTGCTGATTTTCTTTGTCGTTTCGTGAATTGTTTTGTTGAGTGGTCCACAAAACCGATGATATCGATATGCGACGTACTTTATTTTTCCGCTATAAAAATCAGGCGACGTACTTTTTCCAGTTTGGTCGTGGTGACGGTGCTTTTGCTAAACGAGTGCCGCATCATCCATTTTCTTTGCACGGTTGAAAAACGACAATGGCGAACGAAGGCGAAGGTGAGGACCACATAGGCACGAAGTGCACGAAATAAATATAGAACTTATGACGCACGCGGCTTGACCGTGTAGTACACAATAAAACCGACCTCCTCATGTGAAACAACATCAGCACCGAAAAGTTGTTCGCTTATACGATTTCGATTTGTATCTTCGCAGCTGCGACAAAACATAATACCGAGTGCGATCATATTCTGAGCCGAGGCCGGGGACCGAGAAGTAGTGAAAGTAGTGAAAGTCATTTCAATAGCAAAACGAATTACGAGACCATGGGTACTTTGACAGAAACCGAGCATGAGCAATCATGTTGTCCTTCATAATGAGTTGCTTTGCAGTGTGGAAAAATAGACGTCGGAATTATACTTAGAAGTGACGAGGTGCTGTTGGTACTAGCACACATTTTATCACTAGGGCCGATGATTCCATCGGAGTAAGTAGTCGTGCCTTGTTTGTGCAGTTCTAGGACTTGTCGCTGAAGTGACAACATTTGTTCTCGTCTTTTTTTGACCGACACACCAGCGCTGAATTTTTTTTGACGCCTGCCAGGAGGAGCGTAAAGCCACGATCACCAGGCACCTTGGCTTAGTGTGGCTGGCTTGCCGTTGTACTTATTTCACAATATTGAGCCGTGACGAAAACGGTCATGTTGCTGAGTATTTCAAGGCTAGTACAAGAACCCTGTTCTGGCTAACCGTTTTTCATCGACGGCTTCTACAACAACCAGCATGATTGGCAAGATGAAATCATTTTTTGTGCGGAAAAAAGTATGGCGACGTGAAGATTTGCAAAAAAATCAGCGCCCCCAGCGCTGCATTCGACGCTCCTCCTGCGCCTGCATCTTCGGAGCAAGGAGTTCGCACCGAGCCGACCCTTGTGTCCCCTCCGACCCATCACTCAATGCCATGCGGCTACTAGGTTTCCTCAAGGCTTAAGAGCTACAGGCGTGTGCGGTTCGAAAACTAGGAAAATGAGTGAAGCTGGATCAGATACAAAATTGGTGAATTCCGAGTGCGACGGCTACCCCGCAACGCCTTCGCCTGCTCTGTCAGGTAATACGGCGGCGCCCCCTTTTCTTTTTCTTTTTTTTTCGTGCCTGAGTTTCGCGCCGCCGGAGTGTCCTCGCGGGCCAAGTTTTACACGCGGAGGGGGCCGGCCCAATAATACCTGCTCCCCCGGCGTTGCTCGGGCCGAATTAGTGCAGAAGGTAAGTTTCGCCCGGATCCCTTGTCGGGGTTTCTTTACGGCGGCCGCTCCGCAGCGCCTTCGCTGGCTCTCTCGGTTAGGTAATACGGCGCCGGCGCCTTTCTTTTTTTCTCGCGCGCGATCTATCATTGTCCTTGACTATCACTATAACTGTATAAGCGCTCTATCATTAACATTATAGTGCTCGTTCGGAATCCTTAAGGGTGTAGATAGCCTATTTTTCATGCTGCTTTTTCAAACTTCCGTCTGTTATGCTCGATCACTGCTATTACACGAAAGGGGTCGAATACGACTCAATGCCGTGAAAAGCCGCGCGAGAGATTGCTCTGTCGAGGCTGTCCATCCGTTTAACAACAGGATTAAGCGCAGGCATGTCGGCCAAACGCCTGACGATCAGCCTTTTCTGCCTCCAAATTCCTCTCTCGGCCAAATGACTGACGACTGACGATGTGCCTTTCGGTTTTTTCCGCGCATCCTCTGCGAAATCCTTCATGGCCGCATCCAGCTTCTCCATGAGACTCTATCAACTGCAAATCTGCCTTTGATTTGGTTCAAAAACATGCAAAGCTGTCGCACGCATACGCAAAAGCACATACCTAGAACCTGTCACGCATGGACAGCAAAAGTTGCCCACTCTTGCTTGCGCCTGCAACTGAGGGCGCCATGCGGGGGGATAGACGTTAGCCTTCCTAAGGTCGAAGCCTGTAGCCAATGCTAGGAGCCGGAGCAACATGCGAGGGCCAAAGCTCCTCCACAATTCCACCTACTTAAAAGCCGCGGCGCGAGAATAAACCGTTGCACCCACGCAGACCAGGACTACATACAGCTTGCGCTTGAATTTGTAATACCGACCCGGCGGCATTCGGTGAACAAGTCCTAACGCTAGGTAGGAGTCAAACCACCAAGAACCCAGCCCCCGGCGTTGCGCCGCGAGAGGGAAGGCGGGGCAAATGGTCTTGCAGCCCTTAGTCGTACCACCGCCGCGCACGCCCACTGTGTGCGCCCTGGCCGGCTGCGCCGCTGCCCGCCGGCCCCTCACTCTGGGGCCGAAAGCGGCCGCGGCCGGACTGGGCCTCGCCGCCGTCTCGGCAAAAGCGGCGGGCGCCACATAGTATTGGTGGCGTGGCTGCCACGCCCCTTTTGGCATGCTCTGAGAAAGGGACCGCCCACAATTATGCGGACCGGGGGCAAAGGAATGGTTGGAACGGTCGCCCGCCGAGTGGGCGCGCGGCAGCACTCATCTGCCCTGCGCGGGCGTGGCATCGTGGCACCCCAAATGCTGGGCGCCAACAGGGTGTCTTCGCCGTCTGTTGTTCGGCGGGCCGCGCAACCTCGCCCCGGTGGGCCCCCGACCAATTCTGTGTGGCCCCCCATGTGGATGCCACCGACACCGATCACCAACCCCGGCTGGGCCGCGCTGCCCGCGTTCCTACCGTGGTGTGGGAGCCAGCCGAGCTCCGAGCGCTCCTTTTCATCGGAAAAGGCAGCGCGCCCGTGTCCGTGTTGTTTGTCGGTGACGGGTGACGCGCCTTGCTTCGTGCGCTGGCTCTTCTACCTCTCTATCGGCCCGAGGCGCACCCGGCAAGAACGCCCTATGTACAAGCATGCATGAGCCAATGCAGTATGGAAACGCGTCCTGCACTCTTCTAGTAGACCACGCATTTGCAGTTGATACGAAATAGAGGTCTCGTTCGTTTTCATCCAAATGTCGTGCTATCACATTTATGGCCGCACCAGCCGGGGGGTTGAGCTCGGCAATTTTTTCGCCTAAAAGGCGTTCATCATGTAAAACCATGAAGGGGTTTTTATTCTTGTCATCTAACCATGAATCAATGTCCATCTGCTGATCGCCCCCAACAATCTTACCCCCGACTCGGAATTGCGAGCCGAGCATGTCGTAGAGCTTGATCGCGGCGTCGGAGCAGGGCATGTCACTCGGCAAGTCAAGCTTCTTTCCGCCTAAGGTGGATAACTCGATCTGCGTTGCACCTTCGGCTGACAACTTGGGCTGAAGCCTGCCATCGACTCCCAAAAGAGCCAGAAAGCCATACACCAACACCCCGGTCGTGAGCAACAGGCGGACAGCAGTAGAGGAGTTGAGGTTCTTGTGTCGAAAGCCCGACATTTTTTGACAGCGCCGTGTGTCGCGGGAGGACTGAGATTCAGGGTTAAGGCTGTTGTAGTTCTTGCTGTATTTTTTACTAAATACTTCTGATGTGTCCCTCCGCACGGTAATCGTAACCTCGCAGCTCTGATTGATAAATGTTGAAGGGAGAGTTGTCAAAGCGTAGAAAACTAAAGTGCGGGTCCTTGAGAAAGGGAAAGCGCAGCCGGATTAGAAAAACCCAAAGTGTGCTTGCTAGCAAGCGTGCGCCAACGTTTGCAGTTTGAGGACCCTTATCCTTTTCCTTGCGCTCCACTTGACTTTGGCTTCGTTGATGGTATAAAAAGTGGCGACAGATAAAAGTTAACTTCTGTTGTCTTATTTGTACAGGTACTTATAAGGAAGAGTAGTTGCCCTCGTCTGAGTAGCTACCAGAGTTGGAGGAAAGCACAGAGTCTTCAAAGAGCAGGACCAGCCCGTTCCTGTACACAGAAATCAAATCACCAGACTTGTCAATGTCGATGCAGGCGGCAATAGATCGAGCACCAGGTTGTTCGATGATATTGTACTAGTGGTAGTAGTAGTACACAATCACAAATTGTAAAATATTAAAGTTCTCTACCGTTTCGTCATCTGGCAAGTTTTGTCCTCCTACTACAACTGCTAGCACCGATGATCTCAGGTAGATGTTTTTGCAACTTCCGAATGGCCTACCGAAATTGCCCAGAGCTCAACAACCCGAGCGATTCTTATTCTCGAAAATTGTACAGACCCTGCTTCCGGCGTCTCGTCGGAGTACAGATTCTTTGCTGGTGTGTGTCATTGTCTAAAGGCCTGATTATAGACTACTAAAGTACCGACATGAATAGCAGTGCTGCATCAACCTCAACAGAATTGCAAGTGGTATAAAGCCTTTTGCGGTTCTTTTCAGCAACGTAGTAGAGAGCCTTTCAAGTACTTAGACGAGTGACACTGACCACGGGACAACGAGCTTTTCAGTTTGTGGGCCATCCTGGAAGCAGCAGGCACCGAGCTGTTTTCACGCATAATTCATCTGCCTTGTTGTTTAATATTTCCCGTTCACTTCTCGGCCTCATGACAGTCGCACTAGGACTTGATGTCCCTGAAGTGACAACATCTGTTCTAGTCGTGTGTTGACCCCCACAGCGCTGCATTTTCATTAAGGCCTGCCAGAACGTGAAGCAGCGTAAAGCCATGATCACCAGGCACCTTGGCTTAGTGCGGCGGGCTTGCAGTTGCATCTAACAGTATCAAGCCGTGACGAAAACAGTCATGTTGCTATAGTATTTCAAGGCTAGTTATGGAAAGAAAAAAGTTTGTCACAGTCACAGTCACTAAATTGCAGGTTTTGCATTACAAATTTTCTCAGCATCACAAACTTTCCTTGTATTGCAGAAACACTAGGGAAATCCCTAATGAAGTTTGGCCGTGATGCATTTTTACGCATGACAAACAATTTTGTATTGCAAAAATGCGCATGAGTGATCGTGACGAACTTTTTTTCTTTGATACTAGTACAAGAATCCTGTTCTTGTGGCGAACCGTTTTTCATGATGGCTTCTACAACAACCAGCATGATGGGCAAGATGAAATTATTCTTTGTGCGGAAAAAAGTAGGGCGGCGTGAAAATTTGCAAAAAAATCGGTGCCCCCGGCGCTGGAAGGTTCGTCTTGTCTCCTGCACCTGCCTCTTGTTCGGAACAAGCAGGTGAAGTAGATGCAGTGTTGACCACCGTCGTGAAAAACGTCCGTGTTTTCTGCTGTTCCAGAAAGTTTTCCCGGGCTTCCTCGACCGAATTCAGTGGGGCCTTCCCGTCCAACGCGGTTATGCTCGCAAACCCGATAGATGAACTGCTATATGAATTGCAAAAGTATCGTACTCGTATAAATGCATTACAAATTTCCTCACCATGAGAAATAAAATTTGTAATGCGGATTTGCCTTAAGAACAAGATTTGTAAATGCATCATTGCAATACGAGTTGTACGGTGCTTCTGCTTTTGCATTGCATATGCTACACGCGGACACCATTTCGCCGGCCTTCGCCTGGACCACCCCGCCACGCTTGTATCCGGAGTAAAAACGTCCCCACCATTGAGTTTATGTCATGCAGAATTGCATCTGCGGGAAGGTTTGTCATGCGTATCCTCATGACAGGCATTCTTAGTTGTCTTTCGGAATCTGTGATGCTGTAGACAGGATAAAATGATGACTTTGTGCTGCGGCTTTTCTTACTGACCTGCACTACACTTCATCTACAGAGAAGAACTTGTCATGCGTGACGAGCAAAATAGCTGGATTGGTGTTGCACACGTCGTCCCAATTTGACCCTACTGTGGGGACGTTCTCATTAAGTACTCAGGATAGCTTGTCCTGCGATTTTATTTCCGCATGCTGCTGTGCTGCGAGTTCGAACAGGTTTGTTCGTGCCGCGGCGTCCGTTCTTTTGTCGTGTTCGACGAAAAAATCTTTCAGAGAAAGTCGCGCGGAGCCGTCTGTCGTTTCAAATGTTGATATGGTCAGCACGGCGGAGTGGACCGCGTCCCGCATCGCCCACGCTCAGGGAAGATCACTCTGGTTCTTGCGACGTGAGTAGAAAATTATGCGATAATTTACAATGCAAAAAGAGATGAAAGCATAAGCACAATGACAAGATGAACACTAATAAAATAAAATTTATAGTACCGGGATTTTTGCTCTCCGTCGGCCCTTCGGAGGACTCGGCCAGCTCCAATGCCGCGTCACTTGGAAAACTCTGCTTCACGATTACCAGCCGGCGTCGCACCATTCCGCGGTGGTGCGTTCGAATGGTCAGCTCTTGCCCGGTGTAGCAACCCTTCTCAAAGTCGATGAAGTTGAGCAGATCTAGATTTGCCTTCTGCGGCATATAACCCGCTCAGGCGTTACAATTATCTCAAACGTTACGAGAGAATCTGAGACCTGTCTTGCACGGTGAGCATGACAGACTCGCAGAGCGTTCTACTTTCTGCAATACAAATTTCGCCAGATAATTGCAGTGCGGTTTTGGAATCCGGGACTTGTCATGCGCAACCCTTGTATGCAAGTTGGCTGGATAATGCACTTCTTGCATCAGAGATTTCCATATTCTATTGTAACGTTTGAGGTGCAACACCTGAGCGCGTCGTACGGCAGCGCTTTCTCCGGGATCAGCTCGTCGCCACCCTCAGGAACCCCGACCGAGTAGCGAAACTGCCGGTAAAGAAACTCGTTATTTATTTCTTGTGTGGAGGAAGACGAAGAAGAAGTACTACCACTAAAGCTACTACGAGAGGCAGAGGTGCTGCTCGACGTTTCGGCAACTACCCCAGCATTGCTCTTTCGTCGCGGCACAAGCATGCGGTAGCCCAGAAACGCGGTTCGGGGATCGGGGTTTCGGTGCAGCTGGTCTAACGTGCCCGGTTCTTCCGTCTCGGACGACCACGGAGAAGAAGCCGGTCCTCCTGGTATCCTGAGGAAAAACGTACCCACACCAGAGGCAGGATGGGGATTTTGCAACACAAACCTAGGAGTTTTGTGAGTCACGCATGACAAGTTGCGCTCTGCAGTGTAGTGCAGGTTAGCAAGTGCAGCCGCGTCACAGATTCATCTGCTCATCCTGTTCACAGCATCACAAATTCCAAAACACGACTGGAAATGGCTCCCATGCGGATGCGCATTACAAATGTTCCTGTTATTGCAAATCTGCATGACAACTCTGGTGTGGGGACGTTTTTACTCAGGATACCTGGCTCGGCGGGTGCTGGTCCCTGCCCCAGAAATGCGTATCCTGTGCAAAAGTATCGTACTCGTATAATAAATACAAGTCTTGCATTACAAATTCTTTTGTTAAGGTAAATCCGCATTAGATGAAATCTATTTGTCTCATGCTGAGGGAATGTGTAACGCATTTATACGAGTACGATACTTTTGCAATTCATAATGCGGCGCTGGCGTCGAAAATACTCCGGTCGCCAGCGCCACAAGCAGGAGCGGAGGCTAGGCCCGGGGCCGCGGGGGCCGGAAATAGTTGTAACCCGACTAGCGGCTCGAATTCCGCAGTGACCTCTTGTACTTGCATATCGCAAGAAAAAAGTGTTACAGTTACACATCATTGTGTTGCAGGAGCCGCAAGACAGACAGCCTTTGCCATGCCAGAAATGCTTGCGAACTTCATTTCGTACGTGTTTTCCCTTAGGATCTCTGCATTGCAAGTTTTCTCTGACACACAGAGAAAATTTGTGTTGCTGAAGTTCCAAGTACAAATGTGTAACTGTTACACATTTTTCTTGTGATATTGCAGCGGCTGCCGGAGCTTGTGTCGGTTTAGCAACTTCAGCAAGTTTTTGGTCAGTTTTAAGTCGTATGCATTGCAAAAGTATCGTACTAGTATAAATTGCATCACAAATTTTGGCAAGAAGAAACGTGGAATTTGTAATGCTGTTTTACCTCAGGAAGGAGATTTGTCATGCATATTTGCAATTAGTACCACTACGATACTTTTGCGCAGCATAAGTCGCAGTCCAGCAAAAAACTTTCGTTCGACTCCTGCTGTTATCCAATGCAAATCTGTCTGGGTCTGGAAGGCTGCAAGGTTTGTCATGCTTGTCTGGCATGACTGAAAAGTTTGTGATGCGTGTCCAAGAAGAAATCCTTTTTCTTGTCATGCAAGAACGCAGTTTGTCATGCGGAAAGCGCAGCGCTAAGCAGCGCAGATATTTCTCATGCTCTGCTGTGCATTACAGAGCATTCGCTATAATTCCCAACCCAGCATTACAGGTTTCCAGACCCAGACATATTTGCACCGCATAGCTGTATTAGGACATCGCACAGGATCCGTCCTTTCGGATTCAGAAACAAGGTGGGAATATGCATTGCAAATGAGCATATCTTCTGGGTGCTGTCTGGGAGATTGGAGGGGTTGTCATGCACAGTTTGCATGGCCCATCAAGATCGATCTGTGATGCATGCAGTGTGCAAGCGCATGCTCCAGCATTACAGATTTTTTGAGAGCTTCTCAATACCTATCTTCCCGCGTAGAAAAAATGAAAATCGGACTCCTTTTGTCGCTCATGCAGTACAGATTTTTTGTAGAATCCAGATACAGCATTAGCATTACAAGTTGTACTGTTCGAGACAACATCCAGGGGTATACTAATTTGCAGTGCATAGGGAAGAAGCTGTATGCAATGCAAAAGCATCGTACTAGTATGAATTGCATGACAAATTAGCCCAGCATTAGAAATTCAATTTGTAATGCTGATTTACCTTGAAAAAGAGATTTGTAATGCAGAAATGCAATTACTACGAGTACGATACTTTTGCACAGGATAAGCTGTGGCGCGCCGGCCGCAGAGGCGTTGTTCGCGAACCGCCCGTATGAAATGCAAAAGCCTCGTACTAGTATAAATCGCATGACAAATTACCTCAGCATGAAAAATGGAATTTGTAATGCGGATTTAGGTTAGGAGGGAGATTTGTAACGCATGATTGCGATTACTACGAGTACGATACTTTTGCACAGGATAGCCCGACGACGTCCTGTGTGCACAACCCTTGCAAGAACTCCCTGCAGTCGCTGCCGCCGACGCGATATGCAATGCAAAAGCATTGCATCGTAGTAGTACAAATTGCATTACAAAAAATTGACCCAGCACTACAAATTGAATTTGTAATGCTGATTTACCTTGAGAAAGAGATTTGTAAATGCATGAATGCAATTACTACGATTACGATACTTTTGCACAGGATACGCGAATCACCCCGCGGGTAGTTCGGAGGCGGAAAACCAAGTTGGCCGGTTTCATTTTCATCGCCTACATGTACATAATATTTTTCGCCGGCTCCTGTAGCTGTACTTCGCTAAAAATGATCTTCGTGGTTTTTAGTCCCAGGTCTGCTAGTGGTCAACATCGTCGTTCGCAAAAACAGCAAAATATTGAAGAAAATTTTCGCTCGACGTGGTTCAACATCTCGGAGTCATCCATCTTGTGCCTATCCCTATGTAGGTACGAATATCAATGGGGAACAAGTTGCGCCGCGCTAGTACAAGAAAAAGCGCACCAGGAACATGATCTGCCACCAGCCTCTGATCTGCCGGGAAAAATAAAGCGCCAAAAATGGTTCAACATGTACGAAAGTTGTACAACTTCTTTTTGGAATAGTACGCGGAAACGGACCGAAACCGAATCTAAGAATGTTAACAAACACGAAAACACACTTGTAGTGCTGTTGACTTCTTGTAGAGGAAGAGCTCTACTGTGGTGCACGCAGTATATTACGCGTGTAGAATTTCTTGCGCAGGTCGTGTTCCCCCACGTGGTTCCATGTATCGATCTTGATCATACTTATTTAGCACCGTACCGATTTAGAAATTGGTGGTCTCATTGTCTCGTCTGGAACACGATTTTTGTCAATCCATCTGTAGGGATCTTCATTTGCAGGTTTAGTTGCGCCACAAGTTTGCTCTACATCTTCACAAAAAGAGATGATTTGCCACGCGATTGCGAACATTTCCTCTAGGGTAAGGGTCGTATTCGTAACAATAAAACACGTTATATAAAAACGCAATGTGCTGCCATTGCGTTTGTACTTCTAGCAAAACGAATGCTTTTACTGTGTTCCATGATTCTATGCGAGCGACAGGGAAGATCGAGGATTGGCTCAGTATATCACTCCTCGTCATTATATCACTCCCCAAATGGTTCTTCTTCGTCATTCATGTCGTCCTCTTGCCCAACATCGTCATCCAGCATAGCATATCAAGTGCAAATATCCCTGGATTTCTGGAAGAATGCAACTTGTGATGCTGCATTTGGACTCCAAAAAAATCTGTATTGCGTGAGCAGCAGAGGGCATGTAATTTTTGCAGTACGCGGAGAATGCTTTTGTCATGCGGAATAGGCATGATCAAGAGGCCCTCAAAACATTTGTGATGCTAGGGCACGCATCAAAGATCGATCATGACGCAGACGCATGCAAAACGTGCATGACAAGTCGCAGAATCTTCCAGACCCAGACATACTTGCAATTGATAGAGCACCACCACCGTGGTCTTCCTCGTCTTCTTCCCCGTGGTTCAGATTTCCGTCGACATCCTCGCCATGCAGCATTGCGTCTTCATTTGGAAGAAACTCCTCGTCGTCCTATGACAGTGCACAACCCCCCCTCGTCCCCCTCATTTGTATTGCATGAACGACAGTACAAACGCCAGCAACTACCCTGGAGCCTGTGCGTGACAAATTTATGTGCCTGCTGTAGTAGTACTGTTTGGGCTTTCGAAATTTGTCATGCAAAGAGTACCACAGGGAAGCAACTGGATTTGGGATTTTGCATGACAATTGAGGGGGGGGAGTTCGTGTGCACTGTCATACGTCCTCGTCCTCGCCCCCGTCCTCTTCGCTCCACCAGTCCACCATCCCGAGCCCGGTCCCGTAGCACGCACCGAAGATGTTCATGGGGGAGCACTTGCAGTCTTGCTTCTGCATCTGCTCTATCAAATGCAAAAATGTCTGGGTCTGGAAGAGTCATGCTATTTTTGCATGACACAGAAGGTCTGGCATGAAAGCTCTAGCATCACAGGTTTAGAGAAGCTTCCGCAATGCCAAATCCGCATGACAAATCCCTCACTTTGGTGACAGAAACTGGGCAGCTTTTGCTACCTATGCATGAGAGATTTTTCTGTGTTCTGAAATGCGCATCACAAGTTACATCCTTCCAGACCCAGGCATTTTTGCATTTGATATGCTCCAAACTTGCGAACTGCACGTCCTTGACGTGAAACCGGATCCGTCCGTTCACGCGGTACTCCAGTAAGCTGCATCCTATGTAAAAACGTGCCCACCCCGTAGTCAAGATGGGAAATCTGCTAGACAAATCTACCAGCTTTGGTCACTCCGCATGACAAGTTCGGCCTCGTCGCGTAATGCTGTTTAGCTATCTCCAGCAGCATCACAGATCTAGCATATCATGCTGCTTCGAGCATCACAAATTCGAAGACGCAATTAGACAATGCTTCTCATGGGGCTCCGCATGAGAAACATTTTTACCACGCAGATTTGCATGACAACTACCAGCCATGCCCCGGCTGACGCCGGGGCGCAAGGCTGTTGGGGCGGGGCAGGACTATTTGCGGATCGGGCCACAACGACAGGGCTTTACGGACAGCGTGACAGATCGAAGGAAGTATCGGCGCCGGTTTGCTCCATGTCAACCCGCAGGGCCTCCTGCGCGCTTCCCGCGCCTTCAGGCGCTATGCGCAGGGAGCAGCTGCAGCGAGGCTTGGGGGCGAAGAGAAGCCGCCTCGGCATAGGTGCCGAAGCAGAACTGGGACCGCGTTGCCCTTTGTTGATCACACACACGCCCGCCCCCGCCCGACTGGCTCCCCGGCGGAAACTGTTGGCGCGAGAGGGTCCGCGAGAGGTTGCGCGAGAGGGTAGCGCGAAAGGTGTGGGCCTGCGCCATGAAACAGTCCCACCAAAATCGGCCTCGTGCCGGGCGGATTCGGTTCTTTTTTACCCTCTCGCGCGCCCTCTTTTTGGCCTCTCCCCAGAGGTTTTGCTAATAGTCCGGCTATACTCGCCGGTAGAGGTCTACAGAGGTGGCCGAGAGGTGGCCCAGAGGGTGCGCGAAGGGTTCGCCCTTATTCGCGCAACCTCTCGGAACCTCTGTCCCCCTCTCGCTTACCCTCCCCCGACCCTCTCGGCCACCTCCGTCCCCCATAGGCGCGGCTTTAGGGCGACCGGTTCGGCTGGCTATACCCGCGCCACCTCTCGGCCACCCTCCCGAATGACCTCCCGCGCCACCTCTCCACCTCTGTGGACCTCTTTTTGACCTCTTTTCACCTCTTTTTGACCTCTCGGCCACCTCTCTTCTATCCTCTGTAGACCTCTTTTTTCGCATGAATATAATAGATAGTAATGGGGTGGGGACGTTTTTACATAGGATAAGCTGTCCGGCATTAGACCGCCGTCGCTCGCCGTCACCGCCTCCGCAAAGAGCTTGCCGCGGTTATTGAGAGGAAAAATCCCCCCTCCCCATATCGAAGAGGTATGTTTTCGGAAATTTGTCTTGCTGATTTGAGACCACAAATCACGTCTGTCTTGCAAGAAGACAGCTCCACAGGCTCTGCCGCATTGTGCAGGCGGTTTGTGATGCTATCGGGCCTACAGCATGGACGTTACTCATGCTAAGCGCCTAGGCCAGAAGCTCTCTACTCAGGCTTGGCAGGAGCCTGCTGTCCTCTACTGCAAGACAAACCTGATTTGCATACGCAAATCCAGCATCAGAAACTTTTTTTTGATATGGGGAGGGGGGATTTTTCCTTGTGATAGCGGTTGGTGATTTGCTGGCTGTCCCAGAACCACTTCCCGGCGGTATTGTTCAGCGGATTACTTTATGCCTTGCAAATATGTCTGCGTCTGGAAACTTGTGATGCTGGGTGGGGTATCATGAGGAGGCCACAAGTGCTGGCTCAGCATGACAGGTTTCTGAGCTTCTAGGTGCTGCCTATTCTGCATGACAAACTGCGTCGCTGCATGACAGAAAAATGGAACTCTTGTGTAACGTGCATGACAGATGTAAGAGGCATGCCAGACAAGCATGACAAACATGCATTCTTCCAGACCTCCAGAGATATTTGCATTTCATATACTTTTCCCTCCCGCTGGTCCACCTGGGGAAAAATCGTCATCGTCGTCAGCACCGTGGTCGAAGGCGTGGTCAACATTACTATCAGCGCTCGCTCTTTCGGGCAGTTTGGCGAGCACACTTTTCAAACCCTCAAACTCCGCCTTCTCCTCGCTCACTACAGCTTGATCTGCGTATCAAAAGGAAAAATCCCCCCTCCCCATATCGAAAACGAAATTTGTGATGCTGTATTTGAGTACACAAATCGACTTGTATTGCTAGAAGGCCAGGGGCCGCAGTTGTGGCCTCGTTTGCAGGCGATTTGTGATGCTGATTTTCAATTCCAGCTGCCTCCTGTCATGCTGAAGATGCAAAGCTTTCCCATGCAGCCCAGTACTAAAGTCTGCACCTTTTCCCTTGTAGCATGACAAAGCTGATTTGTGACCACAAATCTCCATCACAGATTTGCGTTTTGATGTGGGGTGGGGGCATTTTGCATTGTAATACTGCGGCGGCGGCGGCGGTGGTCATCATCCCGTCTTCATTTTCATCAACTTCAGCCGCCCCTCCGCTGCCGCGTCGTCTGCGCATTCTATTTTTGCGCATCTTCTTGTTGTGGTTTCCGCGATTTTTGTCCAGATTGCCACCCCCTACTAGGTTCTTGTTCACGCTCTCAATAATGCGCGCCGTGCTGTTGGTGATGACCGATTTTAGTCGGTGCGTCGGCTTAGGCAGCGCTTCGTCGGAGTCTTGCCCGTTTGATAGCCCGGGGCTATAAGGTTTGTTTGTTCCTCCTTGTTCTGCAGTTGCCGTGTCTACCGCAACCAGAGCCAGCTCAGTGCTCGGGTGGAGGTTTTCGTCCTGTGCACCATCTTCGACCTCCATCTCATCACGATCATCGCCCTCCCCCCCGTACTGGTTCGAGGTCGTCCCAGCACTAGCGGTTGCTTTCAGCACCTCGAGCTTCTCGGTTTCGCAAAACACCGAGACGTCCTGGAGATCCCGGCGGGGAAGAAACACGGAGTGAAAATTCACGTATCCTGTGCAAAAGTATCGTATTCGTATTGCGATCACGCATTACAACTCCTTTTCTTAAAGGCAAATCCGCATTGCAAATTTTATTTCTCATGCTGAGGAAATTTGTAATGCATCTATACGACTACGATCCTTTTGCAGTGCATATCACGCCCATCACCCCAATTTTCAGCCCGGACACGGTGGACTCGATGACTTTTCCCTCCAGAACATCGCCGATCTCGGGGCGGAAGATGATCAACGTGAAGCAAACCCGGAAAATGACGCCGCCGTTGAAATTATCCTGAGGAAAAACGTACCCACACCATAGTCAAGATGGGGAATCGGCTAGACAAATCCACAAGTTTTGGCTGTTTTGCATGACAAATTTGGATTCGTAGTGTAGTGCTGTTTGAGCTAGCTCAGCAGCATCACAGATCTAGCATACCATGCTGCTTGGAGCATGACAAATTGCAAAACACGACTAGAAAATGCTTCTCATAGGGCTCCGCATGAGAAACATTTTCAACCATGCAGATTTGCATTACAACTCTGGTGTGGGTACGTTTTTACTCAGGATAGAAATGCTTGCCCCCGTCGGACACCGGGATCAGATTGTTTCCGTTGTGAATCCTATGCAAGAAAAAAGCGGTGCAAGTGTAAGACTGTGATGCAGGAAATGCAGAAGTGTATACGCTTGTCATGCTGGATGTGCGCCATAGGCAACTTTCATGCGTGTTTCCACGTGCTAGCTGCGCATGACAGGTTTATTTCCCTGTAATGCAAAACGAACTTGTGATGCTGTTTTTCCTACAAAGTTACACTTACACAGTTTTTTTTCCTTGATAAATCGCGGTGATCTTTTCCGCGTGCAGGCAGTAGCCGTGCTTGGGCAGCACCCGGTCCGCGTACTTCTCATTCAGCTTCTTAAACAGCTGGTACTTAATCCGCAACTGCCTCTGTAATTTTATATTACGCGGGACGGGCCTTGCGGCCGCTGCCCTGGTATTTTCGTGGTCGAGGGAGTTGTCGTCAACTGTGGATGGGTATGCATTGCAAATATGTCTGGGTCTGGAAGAATGCAGGAGTTTGTCATGCAGATTTTGCATGACTCATGAGGTCAGCGATGCATGCCCTAGCACCATCAGAGATTCCGCGCGGGCTTTCTGATGCTCATACCGCATGAGAAATGCCCTCTCCGCGTAGCAAAAATTGCATCTCTGCTGCTGTTCATGCAATTTACAGATATTGTGTGGAGATCAAAGGTAGCATCACAAGTTCCATCCTTCCAGACCCAGACATATTTGCGGTTGATAATGGGGTCGTGGTGCTGCCTGTCGTGAGGGAGGAAGGCAAAGGCGGGAACTCCTTCGGGGAGAGGAGAATGTCGTCCTGTAGCTCGATTTGGGTAAACATCGTTGTCGATTGGCTATGGTTTGGGCTTTCACTTCGCTCGTCGATATATAAATCTTCGAAAATTATCACTGTCGCAGTGGAACCACTTGTAGTCCTACGAGTACGACGACTTGGTAGCAGCAAATTATAAGCAGGGCAGACACATCCAATAGAGGTAAAAACTTCTACAGCCGAAGTACTAGTTGTATGCCTTCACTAAAAAGGAGCAGTAGTCAACAAGAACATACTAGAGTTCGACCTCATCATCAACTCGCCCACGTAGCTACTAGTTCCGCACAACATCGCGTATTATTTTCTTTTTGTGTCGCTGGTTGTGGTGAAAAAATGAAAAGGAAAACTCAAAGGCCAGAACCAGAAGGAGCAAAATCGGACGGCGTAAAACTAAAAATTGGTGTATGCGTATTTTCAAAACTCAATCGCACTCGCAGATTTGAAATCATCTGGATTACAGCACGATCTTCACGAACCAGGTGCTGCAGCCTGATCTCATATTCACAGCGAAGTTGGACTACTCAGGTTCATCTTCTAGGATATGTCTGGAGCAGCGTCGCCAGGGGCTGCATCTATGGGGTAGATCGAAAGATCGGCGAATGGAACAAAATCTGGCAGTAGCAGAACCACGACCGTCGTCCACATGAAGATTTTCGCGACGAGTAAGTATGTACATGATGATGATCTTAATATTGGGACCAAGATGATCCTGGAACAAGATTGGAGGAGGTGACACGAGAAAATTCGGAGCTTCAAAAACTTCTTGGACCAAGTCCTACTCAAACGGAACTCCACACGGAACTGGATTTATCGACGGACCAATTGGAGCTGCTCCTGCTGCTTTTCTATACTATAAAAATCTGCTATGAGTATGATCAAGATCATCGTTTTTGCAGCGTGTTCGTGTTGCGCACAAGATCGCTTGCATTGCCCTTGCGGGGCCACAACACGATCTTTATTTACTTACTTGCAGCGGAGGGCAGGATGAACATCAGACTCAGAGTCGTGCGCCACTCCCACGACATTAAGCCGCCGCTGAAGGGCACCAAGTCCAACAAATCCACGGCCGATCGCTGATAAAAAAAGAACACAGAGAGCAGAGTTAGGTGCTTTTTGCTGCCTTCTACATTTACTCCATTTACCATTTCATGACAAAGTCTATCAAACCTACAACCTGATCCGTGCTGGTGGCAATAAAGGCAGAAGTTGGGCTGATTTCAGTGAGCGCGTGCTATCTTGTAGTACTGCTTTCCAAAAAATCTTCACAAGTCATCTTCTTCGGAATCCACTTCAGGGCACTCGTCCTGCTCCGCGCAAAATGTTATGCATCGCAAAAGTACTACCGTAGCCGTTGCGGTTGCCGCACTATCCGAACTTGTATGGCAACTTTTTTATTTCTGAGAATAATAAAAAGTCACGCAGAGCCAGGTTGTTGTAAAGGGCATCTAGTGGTAGTGCTACTGCTACTTTCAAGCGTGATTGCATAACAACTACGAGTACGATACTTTTGCAGAAGGTAAATTTCCCGCCCATCGGTTCCTTCAATGAGAGCGCGTCCAGAAAATCTGGCCCCAGCTTTTCGACCAAGTCCTTGTATCCAAAAACAAAAAGTGTGTCTGTAATGCAAATCATGCAACACAGTTACACGTGTCATGCTGGCCAGCCATGGGAGGCTATTATTTCATCACCACGTTAACAGTTATCAACATTTGGCATGCTGGATTGCATGCGTGCTGTCCTTGGCTAGCTTCATCTTCGCGTACATACTATCTGCGCATGACAAGTTTTTGCTGTCATACACTATAGCCACACTCTTTTTTCCTGGAAGATACCTCGCAGTCAAACTTCAGTGTCGGCATATTACAATGAAAAATACCCCCACCCCCCCAGCTTGGCAGCATTTGTATTGCAAACCTTTCCAACAGAAACATTCCCCGTCTCGCATATCTCAGCATCACAAGTTTTCCATGCTGAATAGGTCAAATTTGTGTTGCGAAGTAGCCCAACAGCAGCTGGATCTGTTATGCACAAGGCACCTTGCGCTTGCGCACCTAGAGCCAGATTCTGCATCACTAACGCTCGTAATCCTTTTATGCGAACACAAAAAGCTTTCATTTGGAAACTTTGCATGACAAACTTCTGCAAATTCCGGGGTGGGGGCATTTTTCACTGTAATATGGCAGGTGCAACGCGTACTGCTTGGGGTTCGGCAGTTGTGCGAGCGAGTTCTGGATGCAGGTGCGCTTCTGCAGTTTGTGCAGAAATTTCTGCCTAGATTCGCTGTCGTAGGACACTTTCTCCTTTTGGTACAAGGTTTTCGCTCGGTTCGCCAGCTCCTTGCAAATCTCACACCGCAGCCCCGACGCGCCATCACGGTACTTTTCGGCGTTGACGAGATAAGGAAAACGTCGGAGAGCAGCAGGTGAAAAAAGGTCGACACAACCGAGCAACGAGCACGTGACGGCGAGAAAGCACGAAAAGAAACAAAAACTCTGCGCACCCCGTGGCGTTGTTGATCTCGACGGCATGGTTAGTATGTGTATCAACGTGTGCTGTGTGATGGGCTGTAAGAGTTGTAATTGGAGGTCTACTAAGGGCAATCTTAATGCTCCTGAGCAGGAGACCTGGAACTAGATAAAGGCTCGGCTCGAAGTTGGACAACAAACATCACTTCTCACGTAAAACTGAAAATTATTATGGTGTTTCGGCATCTTCACGGAATCCGGAAGGGTGATCGATGCGATGCGCGGACACCCAAGCTGTGACAAGTAGCTTCTGATGAAGAACAGAGGCACGACGCTCTTGGCGCACTTATTGCCCTGTACAGAGAAACAGATTGGGGGAGCGCAATCATGTTCCCAAAGTTCCTACAAGTAGATTTCGTTTAACGAAAAATCCGAATCCGTGGTAAGTCCCTAAAACTTCCTGTGCATACGTGCTGTCATAATTCGCTAGTATTTTTGATCCGTAAATCTCGATATTAAATACCTTCTGCTATGCAAAACTTGTCGCGGCCTAAAATAACCTCGCTAGCATCCCAACATCTACTTCCACCATCAACTGCACTTCTTTCAACAAAAAAATCCTGGTGCTTGGCTTCAGTCTGGTTGCACCGTGCGGCTTCTTGTGTGGGAAAATAGCAGCTTCTACGATACTGTGCATCTAGTACTTGGAGGTCTAGCTACAAATTCGTGCTGCAGGTAAAAATTCTATTCCTGACATTTCAAATGGTAAGAGTGTTCATGTTGAGTTTGGTTGTGTTTTTAAGCACATCCCCTAGTTCCAGCTTCATGTACAGTGGTTCTACTTGGAGTTCTTTATATACTTAGTGCTTGGAGTTGTACGCAAGACTTTGCAGAGCAGTCTGTTGTTTTAGTTTTTTCTTTAATTTTCTGCATCATTCGGTGCCTCGTATTCTTCTTCTTCACGAAAGTCGTAGCCATTATTAATTCAAGTAATCGAAGGACGACAGCTTCCGGGTCCGTCGTCCCATGGTGCCCTTTAAAAAAACCGAGGCGTAGTTCCTGTAAGTCAAGAAGAAAAAAAATCCTTATCGTCGACAGCCCGCTAGGAAGCCCTCCTCCTCCTCCTCTTTTTCCGTGTTGATGGCTTGCATGGTCTGTTCGGATTGCTGCTCCTGCATGAGTATCAAATGCAAACATGTCTGGGTCTGGAAGAGTGCCAGGCTTGTCATGCAGGTTTTCCATGACCCATGAGGTCTGGTATGTAGGACCTAGCATGACAGACTCTGATGTGAGAGTTCTATCATGCCTATCCTGCATGAGAAACTGCCTCTCGATTAGGTCAAAAGTGGACAGCTTTTGGTAATCATGCAAAAATCTGTGTTGCCAACACAGATTGTTACATGATTCAGATGGAGCATGACAAGTTGCAACCTTCCAGACCCAGACATTTTTGCATTTGATAATGGCCTCCATCTCTCCCGGGCTCATTATGGGGTTCTCAAATCAGTTACACTCTCAACTGTTACATGAATTTGTAATGCAAGAATGGCAAAAGTGCAAGGCAGAAGATTGCGCATTTTGCATTACAAGAAGTTGGGCGCATATTATAATGCTATCTAGTGCGTCGAGAACTTGTCATGCGAAGCAGCCTGGTCCTGTAGATATGTACTGCAGTTTTGCATTACAAACTCATGCAGCAGTTGAGAATGTAACAGTTGAGAACGCCATACTCATGGGGTCCGCCTTGTCGCCGCCCTCCGCCACCCAGTTATCCGTATCCAGTGCAAAAGTATCGCACTCGTAGTTGTAATTGCAATTATGCATTACAAATCTTTTTCCTAACGTCAATCAGCATTACAAATTCCATTTCTCATGTTGAGGAAATTTGAAATGCAACTCATACTAGTACGATGCTTTAGCGTTTTCAATTCATAATCCGCTTCTTCGGTCAACTTGGACGCGTTCAGTTCGAGGGACTCCTGCCGCTTGTCGCACAACTCTTCTGTCTATGACAGCGCACAACTCCCCCTCCCCCTAATTTGTATTGCTAATATTGCATGGACATCAATACAAACACCCGCATCTAAGGAGACTGTGCATGATAGGTTCATGCGCGTAATGTAGTACTGTTTGGGATTCCGGAATCTGTCATGCGAACAATGCCACAGGGCAGCGCTTGGATTTGGTATTTTGCATGACAAATGAGGGGGAGGGGGAGTTGTGCACTCTCATACTGTCTTGTCATCGCCAAGGTCCTTGCAGTCCGCGTCGCCCTCGTATTCTCTTTTTTTCTGCTCTCTTCGAGCTATTTCCAGTGCCGAGGAAGATGATGATACTAGTGCAGCTCCCGGGGATTTCTTTTCATGTGCAGCTATCAACTGTAAAAATGTCTGGGTCTGGAAGATTCTGAGATTTGTCATGCATATTTTGCATGCTCCAGGATGTTTGTAATGCGCGACCTAGCACCACAGGTTCTTCGAGAGCTTCCTGATGCCTACTCCGCATGACAAAAGCCCTTCCCACGTAGCAGAAGCGAGACCTCTCTTGCTGGTCATGCAATACAGATTCTTTTAGAGTCCAAAGTTAGCATCACAAGTTGCATTCTTCCAGACCCAGACATTTTTACACTTGATAGCAGCGGTCGAGGATTTACTTCCCTGTCCTGATCGAGCAACAACCTTCTCTGCTGCAGTCGAGGGGTTTGCCGCAGTAGTTGGCTCGTCGATTTTCATCCCGAGAGATGGAGTTGTTGTGCTCGAAGCTGTACTTCTTTCTTGCGCGGGCGAAAGAGATGAACTCGCATCCACCGCAGCAACCATCAACTCGCCACTGGGTCCCAGTTGCGTGCTCGAGAGGGCCGGGGCCAAAGCTGGTGTTTCAGTTTCCCCGCCGGTCTTTCCTTCATTTTTTGTGCTGGTGGGGGCTGAAGATGCTGCATACTGGTCTCCTGTGGTCTTCACCTGTTGCGCAACTCGTTCCTCTCGCGGGACGACCTTCGTCCGCTTTTGCAACGCGGATGATTCTATCAAATGCAAAAGTATCGTACTCGCATTGCGATCATGCGTTACAAGTCTTCATCTTAAGCTAAATTCGCGTTACAAATTTTATTTCTCATGCTGAGGAAATTTGTAATGCATTTATACGAGTACGATACTTTTGCAGTTTATAGATTCGTCTCCCTCGCCTTCCCCTCCTTCCTCCCCCCCTTCCTCGCCCGCCGTTATCCTGTCGAAAAACGGTGCCCACTACACCCCGGACTTGTAATGCAAATCTGCAAATCTAAAAATGTGTGCTCATGTGCATGATCCACGTGAGAAACAGCTGCTAAGTAAAAATGCTGTCTGGGAGTGCGTCATGCTAGAGTCAGGATGTTGAGGCGATTGCAGCTGCACCAGATATTAAACACAATTTTACATTGCTCGCCCAAGTTTCTCATGCGCAGCAGCTAAAACTTGTCGATTTGATAATTACCCGATTCTACTCCATCTTGTCTCTGGGAAGATGGTGGGCCCGTTTTTGCTCAGGTTAGCCGTCTCCTCTGCCGCCTTGTCCTCTGCCTCGGCCGCTTCTTTGTCGGCCGCGATGCGTTCCTTGGCTTTTTTCGTTTTCTCGCTGTCATCCTTGGCTTGACTCTCCTCTTCGTCCTCCTGCTGAAAAAGTGCCAGGCAGTTGGAGACAAACTCCATGTATCAAGTGCCAATATGTCTCGGTCGGGAAGATCATGCTGTTTTTGCATGACATAGAAGGTCATGGATCGTTCCAGCATCACAGGTTTCGAGGCAGATCCGCAATGCCTAATCCGCATGACAAATCCTCCACTTTGTTGACAGGAAATGGACAACTTTTGCTGCCTCTACATGAGAGATTTGTGTTGAGTTGTGATAGGCGCTTCACAAGTGCGCACCCATCCAGACCCATACATATTTGCAATGCATACCATGTACGCCGTGTAGTCTTTGGATTCGTTGCGGCGGCACTTCGCCAGCAGTTCATGGCACTGGCGTCGCTCCAAACGTTTGCGCAGCTTCACCAAATTGGCCTCTCGGAGAGCGAAGCACGCAGCAGCCGTCTCGATGGGATTGGGGTCGTCGTTGGGGATTTTCATCTCGGTTTTTCCCGGCGGGTAACACACCGCCGGACTCGAACGGCCTTTGTCGTGGTACACCTCCGTTTATCCTGTGCAAAAGTATCGTAGTCGTACAAATGCTAGTAATGCAAGTCTTGCATTACAAATCTTGTTTCCAAGGCAAATCTGCATTGCAAATTTTATTTCTCATGCTGAGGAACAAATTTGTAATGCATTTATACGAGTACGATACTTTTGCAGTTCATACCGTCCCCAGATCGCTCTCTGCCTCTTCCTATGCATTGCAAATATCGATCTGGGTCCTCTGGATAATCCATTTCATGCAATACAGATCGTAGCATCACGCAGCTTCCGCATGACAAATCCAGATCCCGACATCACATTTGCAATGCATACTTCCTCTTCTTCTCCACCCTCCTCCTCTTCCCCGCCTTCGTCCTCGCCACCTTTCTCTTCTTCTTCTTCTGGATATTCTTCTTCTGGATATTCTTCTTCAGCAGGGTATTGTTCCTCAGGTTCCGGCTCCGGTTGTTTTCGTTTGGGCTCATCATCATCTGCTCCGTCATCTCCTTGAAATCCGTCATCGCCGTCTTTCTTATCTTCACCGTCCTTCTTCTTATCAAATGCAAAATATGTCTGGGCGGTGTGGAAGGTTGCAACCTGTGATCAAGCGTCCTATGGATCACACAAAAATCTGGCTTGCGTGGTCACCTCAAAACTTGCCCTTTTTTGGCCACCATAGGGAGTTCGTCATGCAGGACAGGCATGATAGAGATAGACCACTCGCAGAATCTGTCATGCTAGGCCCTGCATTCCAGACCTCATGGGGCATGGAAATTCTGTATGACAAGTTTGGATCCTTCCAGACCTCCCAGACTACATATTTGCATTTGATACTTGTTTGACCCCCTCCTCCGCATAAGGTTCATTGGGTTCATGTAGCTTGCCGCTGTTCCCAATCCGCGTATCAAAAGGAAAAATCCCCCCCATATCCGCGCGAAGTTCCTGCTGCTGGATTTGCGTACACAGATCAGATTTGTCTTGCAGTAGAGGACTGCAGGCCCATGGTAAGCCTGAGGAGAGAGGTTTTGGCCTAGGCGCCGAGCATGGCAAACAACATGAATGCTGTCGGCCCAGCAGCATCACAAAGCGCCCGCATAATGCGACGGAGCAGCCTGTCGAGTTGCCTTCTTGCAAGACGGAGACGATTTGTGGTCCCAAATCAGCATTGCGAAATTTCTGCGGCGTAACTTTTCGATATGGGGAGGGGAAATTTTTCCTTACGATACCTCTTTTGGCCGCTTTTGCTCCTCCGTACGCCACGCCCGCGGCTTTCATATGGGTGTGTCAGAGTTGAAATCGACAAAGTTGAAATAATTTGTCTTCGCATAAAATGGATGCGAGTTGGAACCCAGTTTCTAAGTGGCGCATGACAAATCTCGGTGGTCCCTAAATCCAGTTTGTAATGCTGTTTAGGCAAAGAAGAGTGATTTTCTCATGCTACTTTAGCAGCTCGAGCTGTAACCCCAAACAGGCTTACAATCGGCCCCACTTGCCTGCTCTGCAACACACGTGCCTCGGGTCATGCGTTTTATGCATTGCAAATTATTTCAACTTTGACGATTTCAAACCTGACGCTTCAATATTTCACGCTTTTCGAGTATCAAAGTGAAAAGTCCCACCGTCCCATATCAAAGATGAAATTTGTGATGCTGATTTGTGGCCACAAATCACCTTTGTCTTGCCTACAGGGAAATGGGAGCCTTGTGGCGCATTCTACAGCCAGTCTGTCATGCACTTTCGCGTACTGCAAACCTGTTTGCCATGCCTAATTGCTAGCCATCTGCATACTCGAGGAACAGGCTTGAAAAATACCGCGAAGCACTTTCTGCAAGACAAAGCTGATTTATTGTGACCACAAATCAGCAGCGCAAAGACAATTATTTCCATCTTGATGTGGGGCGTGGGGATTTTTCCTCACAATACCGAGGCTGCTTTCTTCGAGAGCTGTTTGCTTTTGGTGATTCCTTTTCCCAGCTTGCCGTGCTCGTAACTCTCTTTCGTTTTTTGCGCCGCCTCTATAGACTTCTCTTTCGCCTTTTGCGCCTATCCTGAGCAAAAACGTCCCCACTGACTAGTCAAGATGGGGATTTTGCAACACAAACCTGGAGGCTTTGGGAGTCACGCATGACAAGTTGCAAGCCGTAGTGCAGCTTAGCAAGGACAGTCGCATGACAAATCCATCTGCTCATGCTGTTATTTACAGCATTTGCATTACGAATTCCAAAGCACGATAGAAAATGGCTCTCATGGGGATGCGCATTACAAATGTTTCTGCAATTGCAAATCTGCATGACAACTCTGGTGTGGGGACGTTTCTACTCAGGATAGCGCTCCTTTTTTGGTTTTCTCCTTGAGAAACTGGGCGGTGGTGCGACTGTATCAAATGCAAACATCGATCTGGGCCTCGAAGAAAGCAAGTTTGTCATGCTTGTCTGGCATGACTCTTGTGACTCTGTGATGCATGTTGAGCAGGGAACATCAAAGGGTCTCTTGTCTGTCATGCAAAAACGCAATTTGTGATGCGGAAAACGAAACACATGGAAGCTCAAAAAGTGGTCATGCCTGGATGCGTATTCTTCCAGTGTTTGCCATGCCCACGATTCACAGATTTGCACCACAAATTTCCAGACCCAGATCGGCATCGGTAGTTGCAATGCATAGACCCTTGTATTCCTTGATATCCAAGTGCTGCGGGCCGCTGTAGTACCGCAAGTTGGTGCGCATGGTGTCAATCATGGTGAACATTTTGTAGCTATGCTGAGCAAATAAAACGTTCCCCGGCGCCCAGGGCTGTCATGCAAATCTGCACGCCTAACACGTTTCTCATGCGCGGCCCCATGAGGAGCATTCTCTATATCGTGCTGTCGTGGTATAATTTGCCACCATGCTGAATCAGGCTATTAAGGTCGTCGATTTGTAATGCTGTTGTGCTAGCTGAAGCGGGGCGACTACGCTACACGCCCAAACTTGTCATGCGCGACAGCCAAATCTTGTGGATTATTTGTGTAGCTGATTTCCCATCTTGACTATCAGGTGGAAACGTTTTTGCTTTAGGATAATAGCTGCACTCCCCGCAGTTTTCGAGCAGCGTCTGCGCCTATGCTGTGCAGAAGTATCGCACTCATAGTAGTAATGATCGCAGTCATGCATTACAACTCCTTCTTAACTTAAATCCGCATGACCAATTCCACTTTTCATCCTGAGGGGATTTGTCATGCGATTTCTACTAGTACGATGCTTTTGCACAGGATAGCGCCAGGTGCTCGGACACGGTCGGGTGGCCCTTGCCCGCGAGCTCTCGGTCCAGAATCCCCCTGCTTATCAAATGCAAATGTGTCTGGGTCTACTTGTTATGCTGGGTCAGTATAAACAAGTTTCTGAGCTTCTAGGTGTTGCCTATTCTGCATGACACACTGCGTTTCTGTATGACAGAAAAGTGGTGCTCTTTGGTAACGTGCATGACAGATTTGAGAGTCGTGCCAGACAAGCATGACAAACATGCATTCTTCCAGCAGACCCAGACATATTTGCACCTGATATTGCTCAGCATGCCGCCACTCACCCCGCGGATGCAGTTGTCGGCCGAGGCGACCTATGCAAAAATGTCTGGGTCTGGCAGGTCACAACTTGTGATGCTGTTTTCGGATTCTAAACAAATTTGTGTTGCATGACCAGCAAGAGGAGCCCGGTTTGTCCTACGTGGAGAGGGCATTTCTCATGCGGAATAGGCAACAGGAAGCCCTCCAGAAATCTGTGATACTAGGCCATGCATCACAGACACTCATGGATCAAGCAGAATATGCATGACAAACCTCGCAATCTTCCAGACCCAGACATTTTTGCAGTTGATACGAGCAGGTTGGCCGCGTGCAGGTCGCCCTTCTCCAATAAGGCTCCCGTGTCCTGGGCCTTGCTTCGGAAGGGTAGGTATGCATTGCAAATATCCCTGGAGGTCTGGAAGGTTGGAACTTGTAATGCTAGCTTTCCATACCTAGGAAATCTGTATTGCAAGTAACCAACAAAAGTCCTCGCGGCCTCTTTTGTACATGCAAAAACGCAGTTTCTCATGCGGGTTGCCATCTATGAGGAAGCGTTCTGGAAAGTTGTCATGTGCCTGGGTTGCATTTGGAACTCTTTCTATCATCCACATTTTAGCATTACAAGTTTCCAGAGGACCCAGACATATTTGCAACTGATAGTAGGTGCATGCCAACAGCCGCGGTGCGGGTGGAAGCCGCGGCGGTGCCCGGGAGCACTTTCTGGTAACAAATTACGCGGGCGAACTCGTGCAGAATCGGACTCGTCTCGCCAAAAACTTTTCCCGCCAGGGACAAGACCACCACGTCATCCGCTGGGTATTGCCGGTCCGCTTGCCGCCCTAGCCCGGTACTGGCAACCTTGGCATTGATGACCAGAAATTTGTCGTAGTTCTCCAAAAATTTGTTGTAGGCTTGCTTTTTCGTGTTGAAAACGAGCATGCGGTCCCCGGCGTCGTTCGATTCGGTCCTTTTTATCGTAAGGAAAAATCCCCCCTCCCCATATCGAAGCGGTATATTTCCGAAAGTTTGCGTTGCTGATTTGAGACCACAAATCACGTCTGTCTTGCAAGAAGACAAGTGCAGAGGCTTCCACGCCATTGTGGAAGCGATTTGGCATGCTGTTGCGCCTAGGGGACAGCCGTTAGTAATGCTCAACAACTAGTAGACCCAAACGCCCCGCCTACCTAGGCCGAGGATCTGGCTGCGATGCCCTATTGCAAGACAGCGCGCATTTGTGTACGGAAACCCAGCATCAGAAACTTCGTCTCGATATGGGGAGGCGGCATTTTTCCTTACGACACTTTTCTCCAGCGAGCGATACTTGTCTTTCACCTCCTTCATCTTGTTAATGGACTGTTTTACCATATGGCGTTCTCAGTTGTTACATTCTCAACTGTTACATGACTTTGTGATGCAAGAATGGCAACAGGAAATAAGGCCGGATCTTGCAACTCTCGCATTACAAATTCGGCACAGATTCCCATGCTGTTTAGCCCTTCCAAAGTTTGTCATGCGAGGCAGCTTCACTGTGTGGACGTTGATGCTCATTTTGCATGACAAATCATGTAACAGTTGAGAATGTAACATTTGAGAACGCCATACACCATATCGTTCAGATGTGCCTGGGGGCAGATCTCGTGTGTGGGAATGGTGGACTCCATCCGCAATTCGCCCCAAAGCGAGGTCATGATGCCCCGATAGGTTGGCCGTGGTAATTTCCGAGCCGTGACGGAGGACATAATGAAATCTGTACAGAGCTTTTTCTTACTCAGGTTCATCCACTCCTTCTCGCATTTCTCCTTCAACTCTTCATCCCCCTCCATCGCCATCGTGTCCTCCGTATACATTGCAAGAGCATCGTACTAGTTAGTAGTAAAATCGCAATACAAATTTGCTTACTGTGACATCAAATGGAATTTGCTATGCTGATTTAGCTTGGAAAGGAGATTTGTCTTGCATGATTGCGATTATTAGTACGAGCACGATACTTATTTTGCAAAGGATACTCCGGGGTTTTGCAGTGCTGCTTGATGATCTGCGGCGGCATCTGGTCGAAGAGTTATCCTGTGCAAAAGTATCGCACTCGTATTGCAATCATGCATTGCAAATTTCTTTCTTGAGGTAAATCAGCATTACAAATCTAATTTCTCATGCTGAGGAAATTTGTAATGCATTTATACGAGTTGTACGATGCTTTTGCATTGCATAACAGTTGTGTGCATGCGACCGGCTGAATGAAGCGCTCCAGAAGCTTCACCTGGTTCAAAGCCTTATGGCCTGCTCAAACGTTACAATCTCAAACGTTACAATAGAATCTGGATTTTGTCTTGCATAATGAGCATGACAGACTCGCAGACCACTCCACTTTCTGCAACACAAATTCGGCAGATTGTAGTGCGGTTTGGGACTCCGGAACTTGTCATGCGCAGTCCTATGAGACTTGGCTAGATCATGCACTTCTTGCATCACAGATTTCCAA